ATTCTTATCAAGAAAGTGTGTTTAAAATATTTTTATTGGGTGTACTTATACTTTGGTTTTTTCCTTTTGACGTTACTGAAGATTGGCTAATCTTTGGCACTCGAGGTAAAGCATCTTAATTAATTAGACATCATTGATCAATTTTATTCAAAGGTTAATTAAAAGAAAGTTGATTATATCTATACCAATATTTTAATGCTAATTGAGCTGTGATCAGGTTTATGGTTACTCCTAATTATTGGTGGATACAGTACTTTTACTCTTAAGATATCTCTATTGCAAGATAAAAACTCGTCTGATTTTCACTTTTCAGCATAAATTTATAAAATTTTAATCCAATTACTTAAATATGAAAAACAGCTCCTAATATTTGTTTTTTTTAACATATGCAAAGAGAAAAAATGATGATTGTGCGGTTTTTATTTTTATTTTAGTTTAAATATACTTTTCATTTTCACTTATCTGCAGTGTATTAAAATTGCAGCATCACATGCTTTAGAGATATTAAGCTCTAATGATTTTGGATTACCTAATGAAAAAATCATTATTAGCTTTGTCTCATATTACTAGCTAAATTTTTAAAGAAGAAAACATCATGTCTTCAAGTATTTAGCAGTGTTTACAGAAAAATTATGTTTTCGTAGGTTATCTTTTTTTTATATATTATTATTCACATAATTTACCAAAATTTTTTTCTTTCTTATATATAGATGACAAATATTTGTACATGCACAGGAAGCAAATATATTACTAACATGAGCAGACACATGCATATATTAAGGCTAACACCTTCCTTTTAATTAGTCTTATCATCAGTCATATGGACGGACACACCACATGCATTATTTTTTTTTTTCATCCCTATATATTATTTACGAGAAACTCATAAAGTTATTATATTTTTTTTTTGTCAAAGGAAACTCATAAAGTATTTAGAGAATTTTATAAGTATTTCCATCTGGTGACAAACAAAAAAGTGTTCCCATCCTTACATATCCACGTAAAAGGTGAAAACGCAAGCAAACTGCTACATCTTCCAAAGGTGGCTTGTAACTGTCCATACTAATGTACATATATATATATATTCGTATTGTAAACGTACTTTATATGTATACATACGTGCATACATTATACTATATTTGTATTGTTGGAGCCGTAATCAGAAATCAAGGGTTGGTGCAACTGCAAAATATATGTAAGAAAAAAAATGACAAGACAAACTTGTACAAACACTTGCTAATTTCACAATTCACATAACGTCTGTAAACTAAAGATTAATTTAGTTTTCACCTTAATTAGATCGATATTCGGATGGTAAGTTTAAGGTATTTGTTAGAATATACGATATATACGAGAATCTTTGATTTAAGGATAGAAGATATTCTCTCTTGTAGATTTGTACTTATCTCTTGTGCACTATATATACGTGAGGAATGAATGGAAGGGAGGTACGGAAGTTTACCAAATTACATGGTATCAGAGCTGTTCTAGCAAAACCCTAAAAACCTCTCTTCTTTTCTTCTTCCTCCTTCGCCACCAATTACAGTATTTACATGGTGTCTGAACTAGAGATATCGTTATAACTGGTCTCATGACTCTGATGTCTGATTACATAAAAGGTCATATTTGTTTTAGTTTAGTGTATTAGTTATCGTTAAGAGAGATCAGAATTTCGTTTTCAAATAATGTGAAGATAATTACCCGGCCAAATAATTTGGAATAACCGTGATTAAAATAAAGCTCTCGTGTCAGGTCAGGGGACAGAAACATGCCTAGTTAAATTAATATCTAGCTATAACTATATTTACTATTTATCGATTGTGAGTTACCAACTAAAATATTGTTAAAGACAATTGTAAAACTACAAACGGTTAACTACGTACTAATGATGTGAACTCGTGTTTCATCATTGTGTCCGATATATTTTCATTCAACCATTGTTCAATTTCTTCATTTCTTTATTGTTTTTTTTTTTCTAGCTTGTTATATATATTTTAATTACCGACTTCGCGCAGCTAGGGGATAAGTTGATACCTACCTGTTAGCAATCTTGTCTACATCATATTTTGATTGTAGATTTTTAAAATTTCATCCAAATTACAAAATACGAAAGACGAATAAGAAGCAAACACATAGCATATACATTATTATTGCAAAAATATTCCAACAAATATGAATATTATAGTGGTGTATATATGTACATAAGTATAGAGAAGCCTGTACGTATAAGTAGCATGCCTTTGAGGATACGAACTTAAAAGGGAGTTAGGTCACTTGCTTGGGAAATAAAACTGCGAACCTTAATTTGACATTTCCTCAATGTTTTTGTAATCCAGAATATTGACACACCTTCATGGATTTTGATATCTAACCCTAGTTGTGACCTCTCTGATAGCTACAACTCCCTCTCTTTGCTTATCCCCCAAGCAACTTTAGCTTACGAATGTTTTGACTAACTCCACATCGATTAATCTCCTTAAAATGTTCCCACCTGCAAAAGAAAATAAAATAATTAAATAAACAGATGAAGTACTTATCACTTAAAAATGCTTATGATGAAAATCCACAAAAGCTATCCTTCAAGAAGTTTCCAAGAGTTCTAAATTGTTTGTAAGATTCTGTTTCATACACCCTTCTGGTCGATCAAGAAGTTTACAAGAGTTGTTTTTTTTTTGGGTCTACACAAAACTTAGTCAAGGACCATTTCAAAAGATATTAACTGCCACATTTTGTTACTTACTTATCTCGTATAAAATTTGAAGTTTAATATAATCAAAGCTGTCAAAGAAGCAGAACAGGAAGAGGAACTGTCATATCTGAGAAACTGAAATTAGCAACTTTAGATTTCATATTTCGAGTCTACGCCATAATCTTGAAACGGAAACTAGAGTTTTTGAGGGATTAACGAGGGTCAAAGAGTTTGACTTATCTTTGACACCACTCATTCATTAGCTGTTCATATATGTTCTAACAACTGGTCAATATCAAGAGTCTCCAATTACACGAACTTCTCTACCAATTATCTTTTTGTTATTACATAAACAATTACTAATTTTTTTGTTCTATATCTCCCTGCTCAAGCAAACACCTAACTCTCCTTCCTATATATACACTAAAGGTTGAAACAATGAATCCACAATCTACAGCAAAACAAAAAAGAAATACAACAGAGGCGGAGTATTCAGTAACCTTACAAGCTTTTATCAACGCCTCGAGGTCTAAGCTCACTTAAAGTTCCCAAGGACATATAAGAAATGGCATTTTGGCTTCTCTTTGCTGTTGTCTCTTGTGTTCTTCTTCTTCCTGAACCTGCATTTGGGATTACAAGGCATTATACGCTCGACGTATGTAAATATTTGTTTATTCAGTGTAAATGTTGAGATTGTACATAAAGGGTTGCAGAGATGACTGGATGTTTCGTTTTTCCGCAGATAAAAATGCAAAACGTGACTCGTCTTTGCCACACAAAGAGCATTGTTTCTGTAAACGGGCAGTTTCCAGGGCCTAAGCTTATTGCTAGAGAAGGTGACCAGCTTCTGATCAAAGTTGTCAACCATGTGCCAAACAATATCTCTATCCACTGGTAATAATCTTTAAACACTTGTAGCATTATTAAGAGCAATGCTTGATCACTAAACACCTGGATTTAATCCATTGAAATCTCAGGCATGGGATCAGACAATTACGGTCTGGTTGGGCTGATGGACCAGCTTACATAACCCAATGTCCTATTCAGACAGGACAAAGCTATGTCTACAACTATACCATCGTTGGCCAAAGAGGCACTCTGTTTTACCATGCTCACATTTCATGGCTAAGGGCAACAGTCTATGGTCCTATTATCATTCTTCCCAAGCGAGGTGTTCCTTACCCGTTTGCCAAACCTTACAAAGAAGTTCCCATGATCTTTGGTGAGGACGATGAGTAATAGAAAACATACTGATAACCTGATGAGGATTTAGAGACATTATTACTGATTTTTTATGGTTTAACTTTCAGGGGAGTGGTTCAACGCAGACCCTGAGGCAATCATTCGCCAAGCAACCCAAACAGGAGGTGGTCCTAATGTCTCTGACGCTTACACGATCAACGGGCTTCCTGGTCCATTATACAACTGCTCGGCTAAAGGTAAATTAAATTTTGATTTCTACATCTAACTATGGTTTGATAATATATATGATACATAATCTTGGTATCCAATGATGTAAAAACAGATACGTTCAGACTGAGAGTGAAGCCAGGAAAGACATACCTTCTCAGGCTAATCAACGCTGCACTTAATGACGAGCTCTTTTTCAGCATTGCAAACCACACGGTTACAGTTGTTGAAGCTGATGCGATCTATGTTAAGCCATTTGAGACGGATACCATCTTAATTGCTCCTGGCCAGACCACAAACGTCCTGCTGAAGACCAAACCAAGTTACCCGAGTGCCTCCTTCTTCATGACTGCTAGACCATACGTCACAGGTCAAGGAACTTTCGATAACTCTACAGTTGCTGGCATCTTAGATTATGAACCACCTAAACATGCTAGGACCTCTATCAAGGACCTTCCACTCTTCACACCAGTGCTTCCTGCTCTGAATGATACAAATTTTGCTACCAAATTCAGCAATAAGCTACGCAGCCTGAACAGCAAAAAGTTCCCTGCAAAGGTGCCTTTGAAGGTTGATCGGAAGTTCTTCTTCACAGTAGGATTGGGAACTAAGCCGTGCAATCATAAGAATAACCAGACATGCCAGGGTCCTACTAACACCACAATGTTTGCTGCTTCAATCAGCAACATCTCCTTCACAATGCCAACAAAAGCTCTTCTTCAATCTCACTATTCTGGGCAATCTCATGGAGTGTATTCACCAAACTACCCATGGGACCCCATTGTCAAGTTTAACTACACAGGCACTCCACCTAACAACACCATGGTTAGCAACGGGACAAACTTGATGGTTCTGCGTTATAACACCAGTGTAGAGCTGGTGATGCAAGACACTAGCATTCTTGGTGCAGAGAGCCATCCTCTTCACCTTCATGGGTTCAACTTCTTCGTCGTTGGCCAAGGATTTGGGAACTTCGACCCGAACAAGGATCCCAAAAACTTCAATCTTGTTGATCCCATAGAGAGGAACACAGTCGGTGTGCCATCTGGTGGATGGGCTGCTATCCGATTCCTTGCAGACAACCCAGGTAAGAGAAAGAATAATAAACCAAAGAAAAAACAGCTTTGCATTACTCTAATCTAATAAGAAAATAATAACCAAGTTTACAAATTGTTCGACAGGTGTGTGGTTCATGCACTGTCACTTGGAAGTACATACCAGTTGGGGTCTGAGGATGGCTTGGCTTGTTCTTGATGGAGATAAGCCTAATCAGAAACTTCTTCCTCCTCCTGCAGACTTGCCAAAATGCTGAAAATTCTTGCTTCATGATTCAAATTCCTTTTCCTTTTTTTTTTGTTTGTTTCTTGTCTCTTCATTCTTCCAAGCTTCACGCATTTTTTTCTTGGTTTTTTTCCCCGGCCATTTATCAGTTTGACATGAGGTCAATTCCTGTTCAATAATTTGACATGAGGTCAATTTCTGTTTAATTTGTTTACTGCTGCGCAGCTCTGTTTTCTGCAATTGTAGATCTATGTAACACCATGCTAAATTAATATATACACAATTTCATTTGCATATATTGACCTTACCTTCTATAGTTATTAACATAACTCTATAACAACTAACTGTTGAAGATAGACACAATTCGTTTGAGTCAGATGGCCCATGTAAACCATCAGGATCTATGATTTTCCTCTGAATTCACACCACTTTTTATTTCTTTGGCGTTCTTGAGAACTTCAAATGGGATCGAACGCATTGTAATAGACAAAGAGCATCTGTACTTGCACAAGTTTAGCTAAACAGGACTAGGAAACTCTTCTTCCTTGATACAAAAAACTTCACTGCATAGCAATTATGCAGTCCTAAGCGTTCAAGCTTCAGACTTTCAAGATCCAAAGTCTAAACATTGCTTGCTATTCGCATTCAAGCATCTTCCAAATATAGTAAAAGAAAATAAGCGCGTTATCACACTACCAAAACAACAATAACTTCATTGCAGATAACAAAAAACTATAACAGAGAGTTCCCAAAATCAAATCTTTCTCATTCTAAACTGTCACCAAGTAACATCATTAGCTACACTTACCCAAAAACTTGTGAAAAATCCATTAAACTCCACTACAAAATTGTCTCCAATCTTCAGCTAAAATCTCAAAATGAACCAACTTTAACCATCAATCTCCTTCGATTTCTTCTTTTTCTTGCTCTTCTTCTCATCCGAACCCATCTCTCCATCACTCTTCCTCTTCTTCTTATTCACCTTCTTGTCAATAACGTCTTCTTCTTTATCCTTCTTGCTCTTCTTGTTCTTCTTTCTCTCCTTTTTCTCTTCATTCCTTTGCTCGTCTTCTAAATTCTCCTTCACCTTCTCGTCAACAACATCTTCTTCTTTGTTCTTCTTGCTCTTCTTCTTCATGCCCTCCTTAATCGATTCCTCTTCGCTCACAGCTTCACTTTTCCGAAAACGAATCTCCCCTCCGTTTTCCACCGAATCATCATTCCCCTTAGCTCGACCCGGCTCCTCGAATTCGACAGTCTGATTCCGCTCATTCCTTGCGTTGGATCTCGTCTTCGTCTCCTTTAGTGAAGACGAGCTAATCTCTTTGTGGAAGCTCTTTGACTCGGTGAAGGCAGCGGCGGCGCGTCGAAGGTACGCGCTAACATCTTGAGAGGCGCCGTTCTCAGAGGTAACGAATCTCGAGAGAATCGTAGCCGCCTTAGATAGGGAGATTGGTTCGGCGCTGACAACTCTTCCGGTGACGGTCTTCATCGGGAGTAGCTCGAAGAATCGTCGCGCCTCTACACAAACTAGGGCAATCAATTTCTCTCTAACGCCTGACACGACACAAATGTCAAAATTGTTGTTGTTGTATAAGAAATATTCAAAATTACCAAAGTCTCCTTAATTTGTTTCCATTTTCTTGTACCAAAAAAAGCTCAAGAATTAATAGGTTATATATTTAAAATCGGTAGACAATCATTGTTTAGAGTATTTATCTCCGTGGCAAAGTGCCCCAACTTTGCAGCTCTAGGTCACAGGTTCGATACGCAACTAGGGTTTTTTTTTTTTTTTTTCGCTTTACACCGAACGTCCAATTTCTTCTTCCCTTGCCAGCCGTTCTGTATCTCCCGCCTGATACTCGTTCTGCTGCTTCTCCTTAAACCCTAAACCCACGTTCCCCTCACCACCGTAAGTTGATTCTTCGACTCGTCCCAAGTTTTCTTTTTTATTTTTCCGGCTTTTCTTTCTCTGACACCGATTCGAACTTGGTCGGGTTTTTCCTTTTTTTTTTTTCTTTCTGGGTTTTAATTTGCAGCTTTGATTGGAGAGATGGAGACGAAGATGGAAATTGAATTCACTAAGCAGCCGTACATCGAAGATGTTGGTCCTCTTAAAATGTATGTTCTTTTGGTTTTCTGCAGCTTGATCACACTGTTTTAGCTTATTGTTGATTTCGACCCATTGTGCCTGAAATCTTCATTCCTTTCTTTTTGCTACGTTGCAAAGCTCATGAAATTTAGATTGGTTGTCTGAATTTTTCATGTCAATTGAGATGATTTTTTTTTCAGTTATAATTTCTTAGATGAAATTTTCTCTGCTAACTTCTCAAGATTCTTTTTTTCTTTTCTTCTGATGTTTGTCTGTGGATTGAGCTGATGATGATCTTACTTTGATACATTTATGTGCCTTAGGGAGTTGTCCATGAGTGTCTGATGTTATTTCTGGTTTGATATTTGATTTCTGTGGAGCAAAAACTTGTTTGTCGGGACTTTTGACATTATTGTTTCTGCAGAAAAAGCATAAATTTCTCTATATTCTCTGATCTGGAGATCATGAAAGCCGCTGAAGTTCAAGTCTGGAGGAATAATTACTATGAGAGCAATTTTAAACCCGTCGAAGGCGGCTTGTTGGATCCTCGAATGGTATCCGATTTTCTTACATTTACCTATTATCTTTTTGATTTTAACTTCTTAAGCCTATAACCATGGCAAGTATTTTCTGAAGATTGATAATTTCTAAATGGTTTGTTCGTTTTAATTGTACAGGGTCCTCCAAACAAAAAGTCTATATGCGCAACTTGTCATGCGGACTTCCAAAATTGTCCAGGACACTTTGGATATCTGAAGCTTGACCTCCCTGTTTACAACGTTGGATTCCTCAACTATATCCTTGATATTTTGAAGTGCATTTGTAAGGTAATAGAGTTACCACTACTTTCTGTTCAATTTTATGTAAGTCGAACCTTTATACTTTGGTTGAATGGAAAAAGTAAAGAAAAATACAACATGAAAACCTTATTTCTTGGGAAACTGCTTTTCGAAATCCAGACAATGCCTAGTTTGCATTACAAATTTACAACACTGGCTGGTTATTTTCAAGTCTTTGTAGCATCTACAGCAGTTCACAAATTCCTTTCTTTTTTCCCCCCAGCGTTGTTCCAACATTCTTATTGACGAGAAGTTGTATGAAGATCACTTGAAGAAGATGCGGAATCCAAAAATGGAGCCATTGAAGAAGACTGAATTGGCGAAAGCGGTTGTCAAGAAGTGCAGTATGATGGCAAGCCAGAGAATTATAACATGCAAAAATTGTGGCTACCTGAATGGTGTTACTTTTAACTTTCTTTTGGCTAAAATATCTAGATTTGATGATGCCTTTTTGAAGTTAATCATTTTAGAATCTTGAGTTCTTTTCTCGTTCATCATGCTTTTCATCTTAGATGCAAACTTTAGTTCGTAAAAGATTCAAATAAGTTTCTTAAGTAGCACAAAAAGAAAATTCAGGATTCTCTGCTAATATTCCATGCCAAAATCCTGTGACCTCTGTTATTGGTTTTTCCTACCCATTTCAATATGATTACCGTTGATAATTATTACACTGATTATTTCAGGCATGGTGAAAAAGGTTGCAGCGCAGATGGGTATTATAGGCATCAGTCATGACCGATCTAAAATCCATGGTGGAGAGGTTGATGAATTTAAATCTGCAATATCCCACACAAGAGAGTCTACTGGAGCAATTAATCCTCTTACCTATGTTCTTGATCCTAACTTGGTGCTTGGACTTTTTAAAGGAATGAGTGACAAGGTATATTTGAGTTTGAATATATAAATGGATTAGTATAAAGGGATTATCTACATAGTTTCCTGCAATTAGATGATGTTCTCTCTCATAACAAATGCATTAGTATAAAGGGATTATCTTATATACACATAGTTGAGTCATGCTGATTTTTCTTGTTCTTTTCTGAAATCAATAACAGGACTGTGAACTTCTTTATATTGCTCATAGACCTGAGAATCTTTTCATAATCTGCATGTTTGTGCCACCTTTACCTACCCGACCATCTGTTAGAATTGGTGGTACACAAAGGTTAGCTATCGTTTTGTTTATTTTTCTCATGTCAATTATATTTTCTACTGCTGATTTTTCTTCAAAGAATGTGTTTTCGTGCTGCAGTAATGAAAACGACCTAACAGAGCGAGTAAAGAAAATCCTTCAAGACAATGCTTCTTGTAAGAAAATTTTAAACCAAGCTACCACATCGCCCAAAAACATGGTACAAGGAGTTTATATTGCTTCATTTCGTCCCCTGTTATATATGTGTATTCTGCATCCTGTACTGGAATGTGTGTCCCTCTTCTTGTTAAATCTTACTTCGAAATGAATAATTGCTTTACTTTTTTATTCAGACTTTCTTTATTATTATTTCTGGTTCTGTTATTCGTATCCTTTCTTATTTGTTAAGGATTTTTTTTTTTTAGCAAGTGTGGGATACCGTTCAAAGCGAGGTTGCGCAATACATTAATAGCGAAGTCCGTGGTATTCCAAACCAGCCAGATAGCAAGCCACTGAGCGGAATTCTTCAGCGTCTCAAAGGAAAACAGGGACGTTTCCGTGCAAACTTGTCAGGGAAGCGTGTCGAGTACACTGGTAGAACTGTTATTTCTCCTGATCCCAATTTGAAAATTACAGAGGTAACTTATCATCATGAAATGTGTCTAATTTTTGCTTTTTTTTTTGTGATTTCTATTGTTAGTGTAACTTATCGCAAAGGTAACTAAACTTTTCAGGTAGGAATCCCTATCCTTATGGCTCGGATCTTAACTTTTCCTGAATGCGTTTCCCGTCATAATATTGAAAAGTTGAGGCAATGCGTCCGTAATGGTCCTAATAAATACCCTGGTGCCAGAAGTGTCAGATATCCAGATGGTTCTTCAAGGTACTGTTGTGTGTTAGTTTCGTTACTTCTTGGTTGATGAAAAGTTTTTAAGGAGGGGAAACTGATCTTTGATGAGTTAATATATCCAAATAGCTAGCTTTCGCAGTCAAAATGATCTTCAGTTTCAGTAAAGTTATATAATATTGTATAATATGCTGACTCGTATATAGGTTCGGTTGACGGCATAGACACACACAAACAGTTAAATTACATAGGTAGAAATGAAATAAAAGGTGCTGTTAACAAATTTTTGTGCTCTTAATAAGCCAAATCAAATCACTGAGAGTTGTCTCAAGAAAATAGGTAAACACTGCCGCTGAACTGAAGTAGATACCTGATAGTCTGATACCACCTGAAGGGCCATATAGGGTCATTTGCATGTGTTTGAGTGTTTTTCGATCATATGGAGGCATTAACATAATTCTCTTCAGGACTTTGGTCGGTGATTATCGCAAGCGTATTGCTGATGAACTGACTATTGGCTGCATAGTTGATCGTCATTTGGAAGAAGGGGATGCTGTTCTTTTCAACAGACAACCGAGTCTGCATCGGATGTCTATCATGTGTCACAGGGTCAGTACGGCTTTAGAATGCTTAATCATACTTTTCCCTTGTCCTCAATGTAATTCTAGTTTTGCATTTGTTGTCCCGCAGGCAAGAATAATGCCTTGGAGAACGTTGAGGTTCAACGAATCAGTTTGTAACCCATATAATGCTGACTTTGATGGTGATGAGATGAACATGCACGTACCACAAACAGAGGAGGCTCGGACAGAGGCTATTACATTGATGGGGGTACTTTCTCTTTTTTACTTGCTTCTTTGGGATAGTTAATCATGCATTGGCTACATGTGACACTTTTTTTTGGGATCAAATGCTACATTGAACACTCTATATCCCCATATTAATGCATACATACATAAATACCAGATGATGATAACAAATTCTACCAATGGATTTTCTACTGAACCTTTAGGGTTTCCTAAGCAATATAAAAGCTCTAGATTCTGGCGCTGAGGGAATGATGAGTTTAAAATGCTAGAATATTTTCACTTTCAAAAGGGTATATGAACGATCTCGATCGACAGAAGGGATGATAGGGTAAAAGCGAGGAAATATTTTCATCAATGTGTATGATAACGAGCTGTTGGTTCTTAGTCTGTATAATGCATGACAGAAATATTTATTGTTATTGTTGCTCCTTAGTTTTCTGGTCTGGGTGATAATTTGCCTCTCCCTTGGTTGCTATCTCAGGTACAAAACAACTTATGCACCCCAAAAAATGGAGAAATTTTAGTAGCATCAACGCAGGATTTCCTGACATCTTCCTATTTGATAACGAGAAAGGACACCTTTTATGACCGTGCAGCCTTTTCACTTATATGTTCTTACATGGGAGATGCCATGGATGCCATAGATTTGCCCACGCCCACAATCTTGAAGGTATGAGACTACTGCACCTTTTTCACGTATATAGTGCACCACAAGTGGCTTGTGAGTGTTTGATAGCTATAGCTTTTTCTGTTAGTATCAACTATCTTATTTTTCTATCTGTGTGTGTGTGTGTGTGTTTTTGCCATCAGCTGTTTGCTGTCGTGCTCCTTGTAATAGTTCCTAGCTTTGCAATCCTTTATCTTTGCGTATCTCAGCTTAGCTTTCTTTTGCTGGAGGCTCAAGGTTATAGACATACTTTGTGGGTATCCACGTCAGTCCAATGGGATGATCTTTCTACTTTCCCATAATGTTAAAATGCCTTTTTCTATAACACGTGTTTTGACACTGCACCCGTTGCAGTTACTGTGTCAAGATAGATATTCTAGACGGTCGACATCATTGTCTCTAGTTTAGTCAATGAGTTCAAACTTTGTTAGTTTTTGAAATTTTACTCTGGGTGGTTAAATAAGTTGTGTGGACACTGGGACTACTTCCGCTATTTTTACAATTTTCTTTCCTTGTATTTATTATCTTATCCAGATGTATTTTTGATGCAGCCAATAGAGCTTTGGACTGGTAAACAAGTTTTTAGTGTTTTGCTGCGTCCAAATGCAAGTGTTAGAGTCTACGTAACTCTTAATGTGAAAGAGAAGAACTTCAAGAAGGGAAAGTATGATGAAACAATGTGCACAAATGATGGATGGGTTTATTTTCGAAATAGTGAGCTTATATCAGGACAACTCGGGAAGGCTACGTTAGGTAAGTTCAAGATGGAATGCAATATATTGCAAATGCATCAGGTAATTGTTCATTCTGGCGTTTTTTTTCTAAATTTTGAGCACTTGATATTTTACTACAGGAAATGGAAACAAGGATGGATTATATTCTGTTCTTCTACGAGATTACAACTCCCATGCTGCGGCAGTCTGCATGAATCGACTAGCAAAATTGAGGTGAGTCCGTTTTTCTGCATATGGGATTGTCTTATCTCTTCTGTCTGATTGTTCCTAGATCTCGCAGCAACACTTCGATCTTTATCATCCATCTTTGTCTTGCTCATACGTTTCGGCTCCATCTTGATTAATATTTTCAGTAGTTCTCCATTCGTGCTTTGTGTGTGCTGTGTTTTCCTTTCTCTGCTATCAATTAAATGATGAGTTTTCTTGTCTAATTGGTAGCTTTGTATCTTGTTTTGTGCAGTGCTCGGTGGATTGGAATCCATGGCTTCTCCCTTGGAATTGATGATGTTCAACCTGGAGAGGAGTTGAGAGAAGAAAGAGAAAAAATAATCAACAAGGGATATGAGGATTGTGGTCTCAAAATAAGGGATTTTAATGAAGGACGTCTGCAACTGAAAGCTGGTCTAGATACTGCAAAATCATTGGAATCTGATATAACAGGGATTCTCAATAGAATTCGAGAAGCTACTGGAAAGGTGAATACGTGGCTTCTATTTTCTCTTAGGCATGAACATATGCGATTTACATATGGACGCTTAGGGTTTCTTATTTGCAGTCATAATTTCCGTTAGCTCTTTTTGTTTCAGTGGTGGGGTAAGCCAGATGAGTTAACGACTGAAAAAAATCTAAGTTTCCTTTTGTGCTGGTTTGGATAGTAAATGAACATGTTTGATAGTTTGTCTACTTTATTCAACTGACAATGAATCCAGATCCTGATTACGTACCAAAATACTAATGCCTCATCTTGCATTATATTTGTAATATACAGCTATGTATGGAAGGATTACATTGGAGAAACAGTCCCTTGATCATGTCACAATGTGGTTCCAAGGGATCTCCTATCAATATCAGTCAGATGGTTGCATGTGTTGGTCAGCAGACAGTTAATGGTCACCGTGCTCCTGATGGATTTATAGATCGAAGTCTTCCTCATTTCCCTAGGATGTCCAAAACACCTGAGGTAAGTAAACAGCCATTCCTTGGAGGTGACCTGAACATTTAGAACCATTTGCTCGCCACTGAATGATTTGTAGTAGGCTTCACCCTACAGGAGCCTGATTACAATAACTTTCGGACCGTATGTACTGCTTTAGAATCTAGGACCCTGATCTCATTTCATATTGCCATTGCAGGCTAAAGGTTTTGTTGCTAATTCGTTCTACAGCGGTCTAACTGCCACAGAATTTTTCTTTCACACTATGGGAGGACGAGAAGGTCTAGTTGATACAGCGGTATGCATAAACCTTCTTTTTTTATTTCATTTTGGTCCATTGGAAGACATGAAAACGTTGCTCATAGAAAGAGAGCCATGATGGTTCTCCAAAGGGTGACAGGGTTTTAACATGTGCACAGAAGATGAAGCTCCACCTTTTGTAACGATATTCTTGTCTATTGCAGGTGAAAACTGCCAGTACGGGTTACATGTCTCGTAGACTGATGAAAGCCTTGGAAGATCTGTTAGTCCATTATGATAACACAGTACGAAATGCCAGCGGTTGCATACTTCAGTTTACTTATGGGGATGATGGGATGGACCCAGTACTAATGGAAGGAAAGGATGGAGCGCCTTTAAATTTTGATAGATTATTCCTGAAAATTCAGGTGCTTTTACTATTTTGTATACTGGTTTTGGTCTCTCGTATTTTGAGTTTTATAACAATTGGCACTTGCATTTTGCAGGCCACATGTCCTCCTAGATCACACCACAGTTTTCTTTCTTCAGAAGAATTGTTGCAAAAGTTTGAAGAAGAATTAGTTAGACACGATACAAGTCGGGTTTGCACTGACGCCTTTGTGAAATCTCTTCGGGAATTTCTTTCTTTGCTCGGATTAAGGTCTACAAGCCCGAGCCAGGTTTTCTATAAAGCATCTGGTGTGACTGATAAGCAAATCGAGGTAACTTTCTTTGTCTTAATTTTTTTTAAGAAGAAAGATACTCAGTGCATTTTTCATCTCAGTATTCCTTGTGCCTGTCCTTGATTATAAAATATGGGATAAATATTATTAGCTACATCCAATTGACGAAAAATTATCACACCTGTTCTATTCAGTAGATATTTTTCATCTTCAGTTATACAATTTGAAGATATTTTTCTTATTTTCTTGTGGTGTTTTATGATGGACAATATATGAAATATTGCATCTAATAAATATAAATATGCAGGTATTTGTAAAAATTTGTGTATCTCGCTACCGGGAAAAAACAATTGAAGCTGGGACTGCAATTGGAACAATAGGAGCTCAGAGTATTGGAGAACCTGGGACACAAATGACTTTGAAAACTTTTCATTTTGCTGGAGTTGCGAGCATGAGTATCCTTGTTGAATATGCTTATTTTTAGAATTTTACTACGAAACTAGTGCCTAGGACCACATATGAGTAGTTAGATGTTTTGCTTTCCTGATTCTGGTACAGATATCACACAAGGAGTCCCTCGAATCAACGAAATCATCAATGCTTCCAAAAATATAAGTACACCTGTCATCTCTGCAGAACTTGAGAACCCCCTGGAATTGACTAGTGCACGATGGGTGAAAGGACGCATCGAAAAAACTACTTTAGGACAGGTTCTCTTTCCTCTACATTTTCATCTGAATTATTGTACATATTCACCTTTGATAGTCGCTGCTACGTGTTTTAAGTCCATATTGCGAGCTGATGGCATTTTATAAATATCAACAATTGGATCATTGGTCCAGCTCCGTCCCGTTAGATACTATTTCTGTTTATCAGTTTTTTTACTAATCAGGTTGTCAAAACCCACTTGAATTATGGACCAGGTTGCTGAGAGTATCGAGGTGCTAATGACTTCAACATCAGCATCAGTGAGAATAATCCTTGACAATAAAAGAATCGAGGAGGCATGTTTGTCTATTAGCCCCTGGTCGGTTAAAACCTCCATCCTGAAGACTCCCAGAATCAAACTGAACGATGATGTAAGGTCCTTAGATGTTATTTCTGTGTTCATTCTGGTGCACACAGGTCTTAAGTCTCTTTGCAATGTAAATTGTGCAGAATATCAGGATTTTAGATTCAGGATTGGATATTACTCCCGTGGGAGATAAAAGTGGGATTCATTTTGGTCTTCACAATCTGAAGAATGTGCTGCCAAATATTATTGTCAATGTGAGATCCGTTGAACCCCTACAATGTTTTTCTAATTTTCTTACTTTACTATGATTTCTGTTTCTTTGACGGCGAGAATTCATTCTGTGGAACTGTTATGATAGGGGATCAAAACAGTTGAGCGAGTTGTTGTCGCAGAAGATACAGATAAAAAGAAACAGATAGATGGGAAGAAAAGGTGGAAACTGTTTGTGGAGGGGTAAGTTTTCTCGAGCTTCAAGATATGAGATTGTCCTCTGTTTTAATTTTTTTCCGTAAGTTAATCTCATAAGTGCTAGCTTAGGAGATAATTCATGTACCCCGTTGGGTATGGTTTGTTTTTTAGAACTGTTGATTCAGTTCATTTAGACAGTCTTTGTTTCTGTTTTGGTAAGCCACTGATATGAATTGTCAGTTTTCCACGTTCTTACACAGAAAAAATGCCTGTCTATGAACAAATACATGACCAAATGGAATCTCTTTATGAACAAATACTCTGGACTTTGATGGATAGCAATATTGACAATATGTGCTCTCTCTCTTTTCTGGTTGTCCTAGATTATGAATCTTTTGCTTGGTATATGTTTCAGAACAAACCTCCTGGCAGTGATGGGGACTCCGGGAATCAATGGGAGAACTACTACAAGCAACAATATTGTGGAAGTGAGCAAAACACTGGGAATTGAGGCTGCAAGGACCACAATTATTGATGAAATAGGGTCAGTTATGGGAAACCATGGCATGAGTATAGACATTCGTCACATGATGCTTTTAGCTGATGTCATGACTTACCGGGTCAGTTCTTAGGATACTTGAATCTGTTATTATGATCTTTATTAATCACCTGTTCCGCTACAGCCATGTTTACGGTTCAATTTCTTGATCAGGGGGAGGTTCTCGGGATACAAAGAACCGGGATTCAGAAGATGGATAAAAGTGTGCTGATGCAGGCATCTTTCGAGAGGACTGGAGATCATTTATTTAGTGCAGCAGTTAGTGGAAAGGTTGATAACATAGAAGGAGTTACAGAATGTGTCATTATGGGCATACCAATGAAGCTCGGAACTGGAATACTCAAAGTCCTCCAAAGGTCAGATTTCTTTCCTCCTTCGTTTTTCTTTTTATTTTGTTGGGTTTAGGGTTGTGAAGTTTGCTTATGCTGAGTGCTCTAATAGACTTATGCGACTTATCACCTTGTTTCATGAGCCCAAGTAAACGTTAGACATATGCCTAAGCTTAATAGTTTTTTTCATTCTCTTCAGAGATTCCGGTACCAAATACCATTTTAGTCCATATTAATCTCCTCCGTTTTAAACTAAATCTGCCGTTAATGTTACTCAACAGGACCGATGATCTGCCAAAGCTGAAATATGGTGCTGATCCAATCATCTCTTGAAAAGGCAGAGACCATGTTTCATTGCAGTTTACACCGCTGAATACATAGATAACAAGCAATGCAAGATCGGCCCAGATGCAACCAATTCTCGGGTTCTAGTTCAAATTCCCAATTTGCATACTAACGACTAAGCAAAGGAGAAAAGGTGGTGGTTTTCCCTGAGTTTCTTTTCTTCTTTCTGGTCTGATTATTGCTTTAGACAATAGAATATCTTTGAGGCACTTTCTTTTGAATCTTTGCGTCTCATTGAAAGTCACAAATAGTAACAGTTTACCCCCAAAAAATATAAAAGAACATTTGACATTTAACAGTCGCAATCTTATTCTATTTTTGTGAGTTAGTCGTAGAGTGTAATCTGCAGCTGCGATGCATCCGGCTCTGCCAAGACCTGTCTTATGAAAGCTCTTCTCCACCACACCTCAAACGCTCGTTGAACATTTGGACAATCATCGCCATTTCTCAGAAACCGATCAAACCATTTCATCAGAATCACCTGTTGTTGTCTCAACGACAAGGTCAATATGGTCTGGCTGAGTCCATCCTCGACCACTTTCCTATCCAGAGTTCTCGAGGATAACCGTCTCATCCACCCGAAATCATCATACAAAGCCTCTAACCATGTATTCAAAACCGCAAACCTAGTCTCCCGGTTCACCAAGATCCTTCCTTTACCGATACCAACACATATCTGCGCCGTGATCTTGCTTATCTCGTGTCTATACATCGTTGGTATCTTTGAATGAAGATTCGCTAGCTCCTTTTGATCCGCCCATAGTTTCACAAACTCATCGCACATTTTCTTCTCAATCAGTATATCTACCATCCACAGCATGTTATCAGCTTCTCTGGCGATTTCTCCCATCAGAGCACCACGGTCTTTCCCGGGATCATTCATCTGTGTGGTCACTTCAGATAAGCAAAGGACAAGAGACGTGAGGCATCGATGGCACAAACCGTAGAGTGCGTCTTTAGAGACATCATGATCAGCTTCTTCTCTCAGCAACTTAAAGATCAAAACTTTCATCTCTCGCCGAGCTTTATCATCTTTGGCTTGTAGAACACCGGTGAGGAGTTTCAAGAAGATATCATCGGTTCTAGTTCTCGTCGAGGAAGTCGAAGGTTCAGATGAAACTCTCTGAAGAATCAGAGTGGCTGAATCATCAGGAAGATGAAGCTCTTCGAGACAAGACACAACAATCTCTTCTTCATCTTCTGACCAAGGAGCAGCTTCCAAATGCTCTAAACATGACATTACCCCTTCATCAAACGATATAGCTGCAGAAACCTACAAAGAAAATGAGATTCACACAATGAAAGTTTGAAACCAAAGCAAAATGAGAGCAAGAGCGCACTTATCAGGATCGAATTGGATGATATACCTTGAGTAAAGCCAAGATTTTGATGACATTTTCACCGATCAATCGCTTCTTGAGATCATCGCTATACATCAAAACCACAGTCTCTACGTAGATCTCAACATCATCACACTCACTTATCTCCACCATGTGAGAAACTCCTTTCTCTCTTCTAGAATTCATCTTCTCCATGAAAAACCTGCTCTTCTCCGATAAAACCTTCCTGTGAACATCCATGGTGACTCTGTAACCGTCTTTACCCACCACACTCAGCTTAACGTTGCTTGGTCCGAGGCTGTGGCCGTAAACGACGCCGTTCTTGAACTCCGTCAGGATCTGAGTCACGCGCGCGTGAGATTTCCTCCGTGGCGGCTCGCGGTTGTGCTCCTCTGACATCATGTCGAAAAGAGTCGGGATCGAGTGGGTCGATTCGTTTGGCGGCGGCGGTGGAGGAGGCGGAGCAGGAGGAGAGGCGGTGGAGAGTTTGGCCGGAGATGTGATTCTTGACGGAGAAAAAGAGAGAGAAGGGTCTGCGATAAACCCTTGTTTGATCATCGTTGATACTTCTCTTGACGCCATTGAAGAAGTAAATTCTCAAACTTTCTGGAGAAAAAGAAACGTGAAATTTATGATTCCCGGGAAAAGTACCAAGAGACTTTCCGCGGGAAAATTAACAGTGTGTTTCCGTAAAATCTCGAAATTGAAACAAAAACAAACAAGAAAGGGAGATAATTGGGAAAACAAAAACTCTTCGACTAAGAAGCTAAGAACAGACAAGAAAATCTGGAAATTTGTTTTCTTGGGAATACAAAAGAGTAGTAAACAAAGGAGCAGACTTCCCCACAAGAAAAATGAAATCGGAGAATCAGAATCCAAGAAAATGAGAGGACTTTGGATCTGAGATAATAGAAAAATAGAAATACAATCGCAACGGCGAGTGAGAAAAAATTATTGAAAAACCTGAAGAAAAGTTACTTGTTTTATGTCTCTTTTACAGATAGATAGATCATTGCCTCCATGTGCTCTCCTTTTTATCTCACAAATACACAAACGTATGTACATCAGAATAAAATATAAGTAAACATGCACATTTGAATTCGCGAAACCGAAAGGTAACAAACTTTTTACCGTTGAAAATTGGCATTTACTAAATCAATCATATTATCGATTTAGATTTCGTTTTCCAATCTTTTGAATTGTGAAAGATTATATAATCAGAATACAGCTTATATAAGATCTGATCAGAATGATTTTGGTACATCTAGTATATCTCTACTTTGGTTTTCTTATTGGACCTTTTTTGGTCGTTCCGGTTTAATTGATCGGTTCAGCCCGATCTAGCAGTATCTGACCGGGGGACAAACGGACTTGAAAGCCGGAGGACGAAGTTTAGACTTTAGATTCTCTGTTCATATATATTAGAATTATTAGTTTGATTGATCAAAAGCAAGCATATACGATCACTTGGATTTTATCTCTTGTATCTTGTCAATCAACAAAAACTTTGTCGTTTGTATGTGTAAGGTTATAATAAAATTTAATCAATGTCAAGCTCAAACGTGTTCTGCTACCAACTACATCTTTTCATATTTTTGAAATTTTTTTGATTATTTCTAAAGTTTTTCTTTCTGAAAAAGGTTTATAAATTTTAAAGTTTGAAATGATATGGTCAAAAAAGAAATGTTGTGGGAACTGGGAAGGCAATAGTGGCCCAAAGCATTAAGTTGTGTCGTGGATTCTCTTCCAACAATGTAGTTTATTTCACCAATTGAAAACTTTGGTTACCTCTCTCTCATGGCAAATGTAACGTTAGATGTTGTAATCATCATCATCAATGTAAGTATGTAACTCATCAATACACGTTCATTAACTTTGCATTCCATTTGTTCATGGATGTTAAACATATATAGTATACAAAATTCTTTCATTTTTTAATGTGTATGTAGTTATAAATCTATTTAATGCAGTCAGATGTTTCAAAACTTTCATATATCACTAAGGAAGAAAAATCACTTACCACACATATAATATGGTTTGGATAAATTACTTAGCACCACATATAAATTTAGTTTGGGTGGATCGTGTTGCACTAAACACTTGTCTAGTTGTCTTAATTCTCATGGTATGATACGATCAACACTTTGAATATGGAGGCCCAACTTAGAACATGGGCCTAATCAATTGGGCTTTATATGAAAACACGAGATCACCCTGCGTCTCGTATTCCACATTGAAAACGCCATCACCGTCACTGCGAATCCCTCTGCTCCTTCCTCCATTCCTATAATCTCTATAGAATATGCAACCACCTCCGGCCAAATCTCCGGCAGGAATCTGAACGGAGAAAGAACAATCTTCTCCGACGAACAGAGCCACGTCTCCTAATTCTCTCACCTCTTCCCATCGCTTCTCTTCTTTCTTCAGCTTATACACTCTAAACTCCACCGCAGATTTCGAAAACGCCGTTTTGCACCAAACGTGTTTCACGTACTTGTCCACGAGCAAAACTTCTCCGCCAGGAAATTCCACGAGATGCTTCTTGTGACCGCCTCCTCCGGCTAAACCCTCAGCCAAATCCGAAACATTGAAATCCACATCGTAAATTACGGTTTTGCCCATATCGTCCACAACGATGCAGTTCTCTCCGTACATCATTATGTCCTCGTAGATCACATTCCACGAATTATCCAAAATTCTCCATCTTTCGTCGTTTCCCCTTTTTAAAAACCCTAATTTCCCGCCACTGTGAATCGCCATTACAGCTGAAGCTCCCCCTGAAGAAAGAATCACCACTTTGTCTGAATTCAATGACCAGAAAGAAGACATCTCACCACCGCCATTGTTTGCGTACTCCATACGGTAAGCTCTACGAACCAATCTCACATGAGATTCTTGCAAATCGATATTTTCCGGGAATTTTTCTGGTAAGAAACAGATTCTGTCGTTTGAGAAGAGATCCAAGACTCGCATTTTCCCTGGAGATGTCTCCTGAAGCTTAACCAACCAGCTTTTCGGATTCAAAGTCTTATGTGGAGCTTCGAGTTTGTAAACACTGCTCTGTTTCAGAATGAAGAAACCAGAGGATGAAGAAGAAGATGTAGGTGTAGCTGACCAGAAAGGGAGGAGAATTGGAAATTTAGACAAAGGGTTATTGTTATTGTCGGAGAGAGGAAGAGAGAGACGCCACGTGGCGCATACCGAGCGGAGACAGAGGAGAACAACGGTGTCTGATGAGTCGTCGTTAACGCGGTCGGAGATCAGCTCAAGAAGGTCTAAAGGAAGATCGGACCATCGAGGAGGAAGAAGGAGAGAAGAATCCATGGAAGAAAGAAGACAAAAGGAGGGAAATGCACTTGTTCTGTTTCTTGGTTTTAGGAATTAGGATATGTGAATGTGACTACATAAATGGCGACATAATGTCACCATGATTCATCTCTGATGTTGACATCATTTCTCATTTCCTTTTGTATATTTTTAAAACAATCATCAATGTCTATTGGGATGTCTATTTCTATGGTTATCTTTGGTATTGAGACTTAAAATATGTCTATTTACATCCTATTATTGTCTCTTTGTGGTTTTGAACATATATATTAATATTAAATATTAATCCATGTCTTTTGCAGGAGATAACTTTTATATGTACCAAGTACCATTGACCAATCGGGTTTTTAAAATATCATAGTGATGCCAATTTGATATTTTATAGCACCCACTGCAAATTTTTATTTCCAAGATTTTTAATTTAAACTTTGATAATTTCTAGATTAGGGATTTTTTTTTTTTTGAAAAAAGAGTTAGCAAAGGCTTTGTATTACTATGCATATTATAAAAAGAAAAAAAACTTCGGTTACTTTTTCCACACGCTTCAACATCGAAACGTAACACATGCACTTTGTCTCTAAATCACTAGATACTAGATAGCATACATTCTCTTGGTCAAAATCCCAGAAAAATCCAACAATCCAGATTGTCTCGATCTAGCCATCGACTCTCTCCTCGCGCTTCTGACATTGGAAGCCTCGATTCGATGCATAATGACCCAATAACACATAGTCCCAATCGTCGTTAGCATTATCGTCGCACCAAACACCGTCACTCCAACCGCTAGCCACCGCTCCTCTTCACCAACCACCACAAACGCTAACGCCAAAAACGCAATCGATATCAAAACGCACGCTAACCACATTAGCTTGTTTATCACAGCCATCATATTCTTCTTGGCCTTGTGCTCAATCGCAACCACCGATGTCTGAACCACCACAACCGCCAAAGATATAAAAAGCGCGATCGAGTCGAACACGAAGAAGATCGCAAACGCGGGTCTATCTGCGATGTTCGCTTCTCCGAGAGTTTGTCTAGGAGAGAGTGAACTCAACTCGTCGGCGTATTGTCCAGGGACGGTGAAAATGGCGGCGAAAGCGACGGTGGCGATTAGAACGGCTACGACTGTGGTGGAGTTAATGGCGTTGTCGAGACCTTCGACGTGCATTTTGTTTATGCGTTTGGCGATTCCTTGAACGCGTTTCCTCGTCTCTCGAGCGTGTTCTAGCTGGTGGTGAACCTCGTGTTTGATGTCGCTCACCGTTTGTTTGAGCTCACGCGCTGCGTTTGGGCGAGTAGTGTTGTTGATGGCTTTAGCTGAGGGAACTCCGCGGTTTTTGAGAACCGCCGCGAGCTCGGGGTGGCCAGTTTTCTCGGCGGTGTCAAGCGGCGTTTCTCCAGCTCTGTTTATCGCTTTTGTACTCGTCTCGCTGTTCTCTAGAAGCAATTCCACAATCTGCAACCACACATATTAGAGTCTCAATAAATGTATATTTTTCAAACCTAACTTAACATGTCAGCTAAAACTCGATTTCTTGTTTCAAGAATCCAAATAGGGTTCAAAACGCATATAGGCAAAGAGTTTACAATTGAAAGAACGTACCTTAGTGCGACCTTTCCTAGTAGCAACATGTAACGCAGTGTTCCCTTTAGAATCAACGATATTCAACGACGAGCGATGTCCCTTCATTAGCTCAAGCACCACGTCAAGGCTTTGTCCTTTGACCGCCATGTGAAGTGGCGTCTGACCTTTTTTATCAGTCCTTGTCGCCGTGTCTGGTTCAACCGCCACAATTGCCTTTACCACTTCCGCGTGACCGTTCCTAGCCGCCGAGTGCAATGCTGTTTTCCCGTTGCTCTTTGCGATGGCAGCTAGGCTACTCCCTGCGGCTTCTAGTAGATACTCAACGACCTCCACGTGTCCCTGTGCCGCCGCTGTGTGTAGAGCCGTCGTGTTTGATAAGTCCACCGTCATTGCTAGCTCCGGGTGTTCCTCCATTAGTACTCTCAAAACCTCTATAAACGTTAAAAAGATTTCAACTTCCCTCAAAGTGAATTCGTTATTTAATCAAACAAAGATTGAACATTTCATTATGTGTTCTTTAAATCTAACAAATGCTAAAACTTTCATCATATATTTAGCTCTTTTTTTTCCTTCCCATTTCTTAAGATAAAACAAAGAGTGAAACTTTCTTCAAATTCTTAGATAACTTATCTTCCCAATCATTAAAATCAATCAAAGAATGAATCTTTATCATTTTGGATCGAAATTTCACAAAAGTCATACCCAATTCGCCTTGTTTAGCAGCAATGTGGAAAGGATCGAACCCATTTCTAGCTTTGGTCTCTGCATCGGCTAAATCATAGTACTTGATCAGCTCTGCAACCACCTCGGCGTCGCCATACTCTGCCGCCACGTAAAGCGCGGTCTCACCGCATTGGTTCTGTTTCTGCAAAACCTCTCTTAGTTCCTCATCTGATTCCATATGATCACTCAGAATCTTCTTCACCGCAGAGAAATCTCCGCGTCTTACAGCCAAATGAAGCGGTGAATCTTCACGTTTTCCGGTCAGCTGCTTCGCCATTGTCTTCCTAACAACGGTGGGTTTCGCAGCCATTGGCCCTAATGTCGATGTTGATGCTTCCTCCATTAGATCAACGGCTGCACATAGATTCAATACCAACAAAGAGGGCTAGATTTGTAGCAAGAGGCTTCTCGCGGTTCTATAAGATCAAAAGCCTAGACCTTTACATGATCCGATCCGATCCGGTTAATTTGAATACAAATCTACGCATTTGGAATCATAAAGATTGTTTTGAAAAGACTAAGGATCAAATGAAAATCCCGAAAGGTAAGAACTTTTCTGTTCTGTTTTTCATCTCCCTCAGCTTCTCTCCTATTTTAAGAAAGTTTCAAAACAGAGAAAAGAAAGCGAAAGATCTCAAACGTTGATTAACACCTATTTACAGATGGCATTGTCTCAAAAGTTCACACCCTAATCTCGTCTCAAATCGTAGAAACAGTTGCAAACACCAAGTGTATCATATGTTTCTGAAAACCTATAAAAAAAAAAGAGTTCACACCCTATATAAAACCGCCTGATGGAACTTGTTAAATCGAAAGACTCCTAGTCACCGGAGGCCTCTCTGGGACCTCGTGGGCTGCAGCTTCACGAACCATCAACTCCACAACACGCATATCAGGACGTTGATGTACATGTGGATCGGTACACATCCTGGCAGCCTGAAACAATCTGGCCAAACCTTCAACTGAGAAATCGTTACCAAGCGCAACATCAATAACCAGAGGCATATACTCTTCTCTACTCCATACTGGTCTCAACTGCCAAGGAAAAAAAAACCCAAAATTTATATACTACTTGCAGAACACGGAACGTATGAAAAAAGAAACTAAACCCTAGAGTCAAAAAGTTTCGAGGTCATACCCAATTAGTGAGTCTTTTCTCAACCCGTGTGACCCTGTTAAACTCATAAGCTTTCCTTCCAGTGAAAAGCGCAAACAAGAAAACTCCATAGCTGTAGACATCAGACTTGCTCGACACCAAAGCGTGCTGCTCTGTCTCTGGTGCGATGTATCCCGGAGTTCCCTTGACCGGATCGATATTCCTCTGCTGCTCATCGCCTCTCGAATCTACAAGGATTCTAGTCGCCAGTCCAAAATCTGTCAGCCTCGGCACAAAATCCTCATCAAGTAAGATGTTCCCGACCTTGATATCTCGATGAATCATCTTTATCCCATCGTGTAGATAAACCAGAGCTTCGGCTACACCCACTGCAATATTCATCCTCGTCTCCCAACTCAAAACCTGATATTCCTGTTCTAGACCCGGACCCGGCATGTGCGCTACAAACAAAACAGAAAGGTTTAATCAAGGAGAGGGGTAACCAAAACTAAATCAGAATCTCTGGAGGAGTTTGTTTTTACCATAGAGGAGGTGGTCGAGAGAGCCTTTAGGCATGAATTCGTAGACGATGACACGGTGTTCAGGAGCAAAACATTTGCCGAGAAGTTTGATCACATTTGGGTGATTAGCTGCGTGTAACGTTGTGATCTCTGCTACGAACTCAGGATGAGCCTGTGGGTTCTGTATGTCTTGAATCTTTGCAGCTCCGACCTAATAAAGAAACAAACTTGTTCTTAACTTAACGACTGCGTTTCGGTTTTGGAGCATAAAAGAGAAGACTTTTGGTTAACAAGAAAGTGGTTCACACCTTATTGATTCTCGGGAAGTCGCAGCGAAAGACTCGACCGAAGTTTCCTCGACCGAGAAAGTTAGTGTCCCGGAGGTTTAGGGTTCCGTCCAGGATCTCGTGCCATCGAAACGTAACTCCAGAATGGGAAAGTAGAGGTGGACTCGAACCTGCAAATGAATTACTAAAAGGTTAACGATGAACAAGAACCCTAAATAAATCACTCGCGGATAACTTCCTAAGATCCAGGCTTGTTTCGGAAACAAGAAACAACTCTAATCGATTACATGCAGGAATGTATACAGTAGAAGTTAACGATTGTTATGATTCAAATCGAAGAAGTCTCAGAAAACAGAGTGCTAGTGGCATAGGAAATCAGAGAACGACGTTCAATCGGTTAATTTTCACAAGATCCAGACTTTTTTGAAAAACAAGATCAACTCTAATACGATTAATTGCAGGAATGTGTAGCGTAAAAGTTAACGAGATCAAAACTACTTGTAATTCAAACGCAAGTAACTATAAGAAACAGAGTGCTTGTGGTACAAGAAACTCGAAGATTGGAAAGAGAGAAACCAAAGACGGAACCTGGAGGATAACGATCGTCTGGGAGTTCGACATTGTGGCGCCAAGCGTTATTGAGGAACTCGTTATTGCCAAATGGGTGTTCCTCATCTACTTCGTCGTCCTCGCCGTTGATACTTTCCGATGAATCCGTTGCTTCCGATGGATCCGAATCCGATGGTTCCGGTGGTTCAGGTGGTTCCGGTGGTTCTTGCACCACTTGGCTTGAGCTTCCTTTGAAACAACACAAGAGATTTTTCAACTTCATCGTAACGATCAACGGAGATAAACCTTTCTTGAGACTTTCTTTTTTCTTTCCCGAGAAAGATTTTCCCGGAAAAGTTACTGTTAAACAAAGAAACTCTCTGCGAGAAAACTAGCGAGAGAGGGAGAGAGAGTGGGATGATGAGTACTAAATGATTTAGCGGAGAGGATATATATACAAGAGCCTATGCGTTCTAACAGAACGGCTCAACGGATTCATTTAAAAAACAAAATTATGAAATTAAATTATACACATTTTAGATTCATGGGAAAATTTTTTTTTTTTTTAGCCTCGTTGATGGGAAAATTCAGGGTTACACTATCAAGCGAAAATTGAAGTTTCTAAGAAGATACTACTTTTCAATAATTATCAAAATATATTAATCAGGGATTAGTGAGTAAGTGATTGATTGTAGAGAACAAAACCAACATTAACTTTTTTTTTGTAGAAACACGATTTTAAAAAAAAAACTACTTACTGAAACACAATGAAATTCTTATGGCAATAATCTTATTTTTTTATTATTATCATGGTAAAATGGGGGAAAAATATTATTAAAAACATAACCAAAGTATCCAAAAGGCATTGAAGGGAGAGTAGATCTCTTACAGAATACAGATACAATGCCACTTTGTGAAACTTTCTTTTGTTCTTCAGATCTTCTAAACCAATTTTGTTGTTTCAACTGTCGTCACTACTCGGACACTCATTTCCTGATTTAGACTCATCGCTCCTACAAAAGCATAAATCTATGTGAGTACATTCCACTATATTAGGAACTTTTTGCAAAACTTGAAAGATCCTTGAGGAGGAGGGAGATTCTTCAAGGGATTTTAACTTACTTGCGAATGAACTGACCCTTGACGCGAGGCCGTTGCTCAGCTAGTTTCTTCCTGCTATAGTATCTTACCTAAAACAAAACACATCAAACAAATACATGCGATAACTTTCGTCCCACGAAATGAGAGAGCATAAGCTTGTTTAGAGATACCTTTTTCTCAAAACATCGCTCTTTTCGTTTAAGGCGAAACTTCATCAAAGCAGCTTCTCTTTGTGCAGCCCGGTCGCTTCCACTAGACTGCTGATTCAAAGGATTATCACTGCTCGAACCGGAACACATTATTTTTGCAATGGAACTGTCATGAGGAGAACAACTTCCCACATTTTCCTCTGGAGCCTACTCAGTAAAAATTAAACCTTTTGATGAAACCAGCATAGATTTCAAAGACAACACCAACCATCGTAGACAATATACCTTATTAGCAGAGGTAGCACCGTTATTGTATCTGCATGTCACACATGAGACAATAGCTCCAAATTAGTCACGGGTTTGACATTTCTTCTCCAGTTGAGGTCAAGAACTTACTTTGAGAATGCAGAGTGATTTGAATGCCTCAAAACACTTCGATCACCCATTCTGTATGTTCCAGCCTCTCTTGGTTTTGTCAGAGTTATCTTGAGCGATTTCAAATCGAGCCCTTTCAAATCTTCAGGGTTAGATGAAGGTGTTTTGCTTTCTACTTGTGAATTACCAGAAGAGCAGTTTTGCATGTCACTATTGTTTCTCTCCAAAGCTTGAATAGAATATTTTGCATCCTTTTCCAGACTTCCTGGTTCTTCAGCTTTCGTACTCATACACATTCCTGCCTGCAATCCCATGCCTATTGCAACATCACCTAAAGCCGTCATTTTGAATGAGTAAGCAGAGAGAATATCAGGAATGGCTACACAGGATTGACTAATGAGGTTGTGTTCTTACCTCTTTGTTCATTCTGATTTTCAACCTCCTTCAGTTCATTAAAACGTTCCCATCTGTTTCCATAGGTTCCCAGGTTCATATTGGGTGCATCGGGCAATTGATATGAAGGCGAGGTGCTTTTAATATCACTGGCTCTTTTGGTCCACGAGCTCTAGTTTTATAATTCAAAACCAATTAAAAGAAAAATATCATAAAGAGATTTCCTTAGATATTGTTATAATCTATCGCCATGGATACAGAATACCTGAGTTCCACTCCCGTTATCACTCCCACCATCTCCGTTACTCAAACCAATACTCCCATTATCATTCCCGTGATCTTCATCACTCATGCTGGCATCGTCTTCTGACCCTTCAGTGCTTTCAGTTTTCGCTGACTTCTTGTTCTGTATCCTACTCTCACTTCCGCTACCGCTAGACTGGTATATCAAGAAAGGCATAAGTAAAAGAAACAGCACTGAGTAAAATTTGTAGAAACGTGTAGTTAAAGCAGAAATCTTACGCTGTGGCATTTTCTCCAGACATGCTGCCAAAGATTCTTTAGCTCGTTCTTTCTAATGGGTTTCACGAGAAAATCAACAGCACCATTAGACAAACACTTGAAGACCAGAACCATCGAATCATGAGATGACATCACTACAAAAGGTGTTACGCAAAAATGAGCATCACATACTGAAACTAGATCAGGCCAATATAATGGGGATTTAAGTAAGTACTTATGACGGGTATGTTCTTGAGAGTTTTATGGCTCATAATCTTGCACAATAGACCCGTTCCAGAGTTCACAGGCATGACAACCTCTGACAAGACAAGATCGATGCAACTGTTCTCGTCTTCTAGGATTCTCCAGGCTTCAAGGACATCCGAAACAGCACTGACTGAAAAATAGTTGCCAAATTTCAGCATTGAGTCAATAGCAACGTGTATTTAGTAAACAACGATGATCAGTTCCATTAAAAAACCTTCATAGCTGCAATTCTTTAAAAGGGCAGTAACAATATGGCGTGTCGAGTCATCATTCTCCACTAAAAGAACCTTGAGCGATCTAACCGGGAGATACCTCTCCCACTTCACAACCGGAGCTAACGGTTGTTGTTGTTGTTGCTGCTGTAACAAATTGTTGGCATTTCCAGCAATATCTTGAACTCGAGATTCATCTTCTCCAAACGTTTGCCTCTCGGTTTCCACTTCATTTGCCACTTCGTTGTTATTGAAACACATTTTTAGAATACTGAATTTCTAATGACAGTGTCAAGACCAGCCTCCGTGAACAAGATAGAATAGAAGCAGCATCAAATAACATCTGAGATTCTGCAGAAACTTCCCCTCTACTCTGGCATAACACTTGCACATTTCGTCTTTAGCGAACCTTATTTTAATCCCTTCACCAAAAACTCAACCCAATAAGAAAAAGAAAAAACAACATTCCATAAGAAGATCACAAGAAAACCGAAGTTGGATAAATCATCAGACATTTTCCATAGAAAAAATAAATATTCAAAAATAAATTTGCAATTGTAACACAATAAAATTCACGTCTTTGTTTAGAAGACACGCTCTCTCTCATATAACTCAGATCTTGGATCACCTACTTTCTCAAGTTGCTACAAATTCCTCAGAACCCAGATAGAAAATCAAACTATAAGCTATGATATGAAATGAACTAAAGCACAAAATTGAAACATCACCAGGTTGTAAAAGCGACAAAACAAAACAAACAATAAAAATCAAACCTTTATGGCTTGAAGCTTATCCATAGCTGAAGAACAACACCACCACCACCAGAATCTCTCATCATATCTGACTATGAAAACCAAAATACAACGAAATAGAACAGATATATGTTTTTCACTGCTTAAACTGGTTTGCTTAACATTTAATCACCTAAATCTAAATCAAAGGTTTCCAAAATCATCCAATACGTCTGATTCCGTATCTAATACTATTCCTTTTACCAAAACTACACAGAATCCAGTTGCTACTAATATTAAAATGCTAAAAAGACATAGAAAAGTTGTTGACTGTGAGGAAATTGAGGCTACCAAAAAACTCAGAGAGAAGATCAAAAGATTGAGACTTGAGAGACTATGGGCGCAAGTGGGTAAAGCTGGGGCAAGTCGAAAGATATTATTTTGGAGGGGTTGATGACGTGGCATAATTAGCTTACGTGTAAGTGGGACCAGATGTGCACGCTGTGATTTGCACACTTCCGAATTGGTGACGTGGACAAAATCAAAAGCCGGGAGCCTGGGAGGTTACAGCTAAATCTCGGTATGCAATTAAACCGATTCTTTCACGGTGGATCTTACAATTATTTCGGTATTTTTATTTTCAGTAGATCCCTGAACTTTACAAAAATTTGTTTATCTGACCTTCAAATTGTAAGTGTCCTTTTATTTGGGTCGGACACACAGACAAATTACTAGCATCGCTTTATGCAAGTTCTTTACTTTTTGTTTTTCCTTTTTCCTAGAATTTCCTTTTTTATGATACTTAATGAATTTTATTGTCATGGCTCTAAATATTAATTGACCTTTCGTAAAACGTTGTACATTGTACAAAACTCTACCTGTTTCCATTTTTTTCACATTAATGTTAACGGTAACTATCATAGTTACGAAAAGAGAAAAAAAGGAAACTCCAAATAACTTTCCTTTTTAGAGAAGCAAATAATCGTTGCTGAGAAAATACCCTTAACTAGTATAAATATATCACCACCCCCACAGACTTAACAATCATTCTAAGTTTCTAACATCTCTCACACTATACTCCAAAACCACACACAGATTATTAATCCCTCTCTAATATTAATTTCTGTAGCAATATGGCAATCACCGATAGTCCCTTTTCGATGTCGACCATGTTCAATGCATTACACCAAATCCGTTTCTCAAAAGGAATCTCCGGTGCCATTCCTCCTCCGGGATTCTCCCCACGCGCCTCCTCCTCCGCCGTGACAAACACGCGCCTAGACCAGCTGTTCAACATAATGACTAGCGGCGAAGGCGGCATGGCACAGTTTAAAGAGATGATCTCAAAGTTCGACCGAACCGAGCTTCAGCTGCTCGTGTCGTTGCTGACGTCACACTCCGACTACTTCGTCGAGATAGTCAGAAACAAGAGTGGGTCTAGACGAGTGCAGAAGCTCCTCGGAATATCAGATGACGTGGACGCGTTCTTCTACGCCGCTATCTTGCGCCGTTTCCTCAACATCATGAACGACAAGTACGCATCTTACGTGGCGATACGAGCTATGGTCGTTTTCGACCAGGAGAAGAAATATGCAATGTACGAGCATATTCTCCACCACGCGCTCGACATAGCGTGTGACCAACACGGCTGCATCGCGCTCAACGAGATCATAACCGACGCTGATGATTCTTTCTACAGAAATCTGCTTTTAGACGTCGTCGCGCAAAACGCTCTCTTCCTAAGCAACGACGCTTCAGGGAACTTCGTGGTCCAACATGTGCTTAAACTCTGTGACTTGCGTTGCACGCACAACGTCGCGGTTAGTCTTCGTGGCCATTGCGTTGATCTGTCGTTCAAGAGGTATGGAAGCTACATAGTAGAGAAGCTTCTGGATGCGGAGGTGTCAATGGCTATGGTGGTAATGGAGCTTTTGGAGTGCGAAGGAGACAGGTTGATGAGGCTTGCGAGGAATGAGTTTGGAAATTTCGTGGTGGTCAAGGCACTGAAAGCCACGCAAAAGATGTCTAGGGTTGATCTTTTTGGAGGTTTGGTGCATAAGCTCACGCCTTTTCTTCACCTCTTGCGTAGGTCTCACGGGAGCAACATTGCCAACATCTTGGAGCCGACCATTTAAGTTTCCTAGCTGACCATAAAGAATAGTTGTGTGCGTATTTGTCTCCAACTTGTTACACAGTGGTCAAACTGTTCAAATTTTGGTGTGTTAGGTTCTATTTTATGGTAATTACTGATATCTTGTAAGAAAGGCTTGTTGCAGAAGAGTTACAATTTGAAAACCAAGAACGTTCATCGAAAGTTTTCTTTAAAATTTGTAGTGTTTTCTTTAATTCCAAAACAAAACAAACCTAAACCGATAAGCTGGGTGTTTCGGAGAAACAAACCAAAACGAGTCAAAACTCTAGGAGATGTTTCAGATCCCAAAACACCATATCAAGAAATAGCAGCCACTCTAGATTTTTGAAACATCATATTCAAAAGCCAACGTTATGGCTAAAAATGGAGAAATATATTTAGCATCATTTTTTTTTTGTTACTTGGTGTGAAAAAAATCAAAAACATGCTATATCTAAGGAATTTTAGTTGGAGATCCTCGCATCAATCTGTACTCTGCTACAAGCTTAGGCATTTGGTTATTGAAAAGAAATTGGGGACCTTGAGAAAATAGGAACACGATGAACATAGAAGCAAAGCAAGATAAGCCAACTGGAACATCCTACCATTATGTGATTTTATCCTTATTGTTTGAAACGACTGTTGATGCAATTCTCGGTGTTATATATATATATGCTTTCTCGGTCTAAATCATAGCTCCAAACCTTAACTCCGAGTCTGATTAATCTTTCCCTTGTCATGTAATCATCTTTAATTTCCTCTCTAGAGAGATATTTGTACCTCACATGACCAGAGATAAAACAGATGTTAGTTTCAACCCTTTCATATCTAAAGACCACTCCCAAAATATTCTGATTTATCAATAAATGAAAATCCCACTCCATCATGTCCAATCTAGGTTTATACAAAAAAAATGAGTATGATCATCATAAAAAGTAGCAGCAGCCAGCATTATGGTCAGTCTTAGCCAATAACATTCTTGTGACTACCATAACATGATATGCAATAAAAAATAAATAAATAAAAAGATCCCTTCATCAGGAAATTTGGGAGCTAAAAATGTATCAAGATAGAACAAAAAAGCCACTAACTACGGTAGCTTAAATAAAAATTATTTTCAAATAACAAAAGAAACTTACACTAGCAGGGATCATTGCTCAGCAGTACAAAAAGAAGGAAGGAACCAGCGAGCATCTCCAAGCAGAAGCTCAGGTTGTTCAAATGGTTGGAGACTCTGAGTAGACATCACAAACGCAGCGACTTCTCGACGATACTTAAAAGCATGACAGAAATAAATGGAGTCTTTCTTGATTCCTGTCACGCCTTTGGTAGGCAAAGTAACATTCAAATCCCAAACCAGAGCTTCCTCTTCCTCCAAAGAATACACTTGCTCCCACTCATTCCCAACCATCTTATACATTACAAACAGATTTCTTTCACCAGACCGCACACGCAGTATGATCAGAACATCTCCCGAGACACTAAGTCTGATTCCAACCTTGACATGAGCCATACTATTCACCACGAAGGGACAACTGCGTGGATTTCTTGAGATATCCCGACAGACAGGCTCAAAGGGAAGAGTGTATGGATGGTTTATGATGTCTCTAGCTAAACCGGAATCATCGAAACCCAAGATTCTGATGCGTCCCTTAAAAGTACACATGTAAAGCTTGTTGTCCATAAACGCCATATCCAAACACCCACCGCGTCTCGGGATCTCTCTCCATTGCTCATCTCCTGTCTTGCAATAAGCTATGTAATCTCCTCCCATTGTGTGTTCATCGAATGTCCAACTAACAAAATACTCTCTGGTTACTTCGTCCACCCACAAAACCGCACTACCAACTCCTACCCTGAAACCTCCCTCGAACCATTCACCGTACCGAAGGTAACTTATGTCGAACGTGTAGTTCCCAGTTCTTTTGAACTTCGCAGTAGCGTTTGAGTCTAGAGATGGGAGATCTATGATCTCGCGCGTGAAGGGGTTCAATACATAGAAATCTGCTTCCTCGTCTAACATCAGAAGCCAGTCTCCCGAAGTAGCCAAGACACGATCTTTGGCGAAGTCGCCTAGATATTCAGTTCGATAAAACTTTTCTTCTTGCGGATTGTACAGTTTCAAGAACCGTCCCTCGTTGCTTTCGTGGTCGTGGAGAATCAACCATGGGGTTTGGTTTTTCTTAGGAGAGCAGAATCTCGACGCGGTTTTCCATCCTGAGCAAACGGTTTTTGCACGAGCGAAATCTGTATAGCTTAAACGCTTCAAAATCAACACCAAGACGTCCGAGTGAAGTTCTGACCAAGGCATCTTCTCTAGCAGAACGTAGAAACGACGATCAAATACTCTAGGGCTTCCTTTTTTGTGTGTGTTTTTGAAATAGGGATCTCTCGATTTATATAATCTGAAAAGTTGTAATTCCTAGTCGGTTTAGGATTTACAAAATTATATTCCGCGGGCTTAACCGAACATGTAAGAGTCTTTAACCACCATTACCCAAAACCGGATGATCAAACGCTACCAAAGTTAACCCATTGAGTTGACATCGATGATATCCAAAATTAATAATCGCACCAAAAAATGGCCAACTTGTTCTTGACGTGTCACATCGTACCAAAAAACAATATTTAATTTTCTAACAAAATAATTGGTCAATCTGTATATAGTGATTACCAAATGGTCATGGACTTTGTCGGCATCTATGATAATATTAGCTGTGACAAATTAGGTATGGAGTTTGACACACACACAAAAAAAAACATTTTCTTTTAAAGGGTAGGACCGTAGGACTGCGTCCATGTCTTTCAATTCAACCTCGGCTGCTTTCTATAATTAAGATAATTATAATTTTTAAGAATATGCGATTGATATAGTATATCTTAAGAAGCTGACTCTAGGAATAGGATATAAAATATAACAACATCTTAATATTTCTAATACTAAACAAAGAGTGTTTCTCTATATTTAGTTTCAAAAATTATATATTGTACCATCATCTATTGTCGTATCGATACCTATTTTGATCAAAAGATGATTGGAAACATTATACAACCACAGTACAACGTGTATCCGTCTATTAACGAAATCATTCAGTAAAGACAATACTGTATTGTCAATACAGAATTGGTGAGACATTAGCGGTACAGCATTATACCATCATTTTATAGTTTTTCAGATTTTTCGAAAGTTTGTTTTTACTAAAATATGAGACTCAACTCAACATACTATAGTGGCTCTCACCATTATACGTCTATATACATTAAATCTCAACGTAATAAGAAATTGTAGTCAACTAAAATAATAAAAAAAAAAAATCAAAACGAACGTTCGTTGCTCAATTTCCATTCTCTATACAGTAACATTACATTGGACGACCAAAAAAAAATACAGTAACATCACATTCTTTAACTGCTTTTGCACAGGGTAGCTTTATCAATTATTTTCTTTTATTTTTTTAGTATGAGCAAAAATAATTCATTACAAAATAAAAAAATTGTTTTGCCGATTATCTATTGAAACAAAACAAGTGGGAGTATGTAAATTCCTAAATTTCAGGAAAGGAAGAACGGACGTGGGCCGTCAGATCAGATAGACAGATGAGGAAGGTTTTTGACCTGAGAGTAGTTGAATGGCTGGGGCTCAACCTCTGTTGTACACGTGGCTGCATTGTACTCGCTAAGATCATGATCTTCGAGATTTTTCTGACATTCCACTTTTGGCAACCGGCTAAAGCCAGTCGAAATTATCATTTGACCTACCCCACTGAATAAATAAACATTAGAAAGAAAAAGAGATTCGTGTGGACAGAAGAAAAGATATTTTTGTTGAGGTCATTTTCATTTCGCAGGTAACCTGAGTTCGAACTCTAGATGCAACCAAAGCACCGGTCCATGTAAGAGGTAAAATAAAACAATGTCAAATGTAAAAAAAAACTAAAAACAGAGCCACTAAAAGAGTACTGCATTAGTATAATCATACAATTAAAACAGGTTTTTCATGTACTAGTAAGTCTAGTATTATTTATCAGTTACTTTCATTTTAAGCGGATGTAATTTATATTAGTGCCTGTAATTGTTGATTAAAAACAAAAACATAACACATTTGTTACACTCTGAGCCATGATATTCTATCACACTTTTTATAGTTTTTTTTTTCCTTTTTGGGTGTAAGCAAGACATATCTGCAGATATAGGACCCGCCCATAAATGAAAACAAATGCTTTGTCGTCAAAGTTGTGAATGAGTAGATTCGTTTTTTCTTTTTCGTTTTTGTGATATCTATATAGTATTTACTGGCTTATATTAAATTCAGTATAGAAATCACTAAAAGCTATACATACAAATATACAACTATAGATTTTACTTTTTAGTGCAGTTACTAAATGTATTATCATGCTTCAAATGTTTCTTTTACAAGTAGCACGTTTTTACTTTTCCCAAAGGAACCGGAAACCGGCATAACCGGTGTCAAATTGCCGAGAAAGATGGAACGAATAAATAATCTTATATGTTCCTTTGTTGCCACTAACCACAGCTTACGTCCCATCATTCCCGTTTCCTTGTGCCGACGATAATCTATTCGTCCGGCGAAGCTATTCCCCTTTCTCTTCAAATCTTTTAGCGAGCAGCTCTCATCGCCATGCCTCTCTGAATCTTGTCTCTCTCCGTCGTGATCGAGCTTGCCTTCTCTGTAATTATTCTATCTCCGCCGCCAGTCCTGGCCGTGTTTTTATCAATTTCAGTATCTAATCTCCGTTTACTGTCTTTGGTACCCGTGCAGATTTTCTCCGATGAAATGTGATTTCTGATCTCCGTTCATTTCAAATCGACGGCGATCGCTGTATTTATTGGTCGGATTAGTGTGAATTTATTAGGGCCGTGTGGATAGCTTTGATCAATGTGTAAGCGCTTGACGAAATAGTTGGTCTTCGTGTTGAAATCTCAGAAGTTTGTTTGCTTTTGTTTGACTTTTGAGATTGATGCTGGATCTCAATCTCGACGTCGACTCGGCTGAGTCTACTCAGAACGGACGAGATTCAGCTGCTGTGAAGCGGGTTTCTGGTGCTATTTTGAATCAGATGGATGAATCGGTGACGTCGAACTCTTCGGTAGTCAATGCCGAGGCGTCCAGCTGCATCGATGGTGAGGAGGAGCTGTGCTCCACACGCGCCGTCAAGTTTCAATTTGAAATACTGAAGGGAGGAGGCGGTAAAGGGGAAGAAGAAGAAGAAGAAGAAGTAGAAGAAAGAAGTGCGGTGATGACCAAGGAGTTTTTCCCTGTTGCTAAAGGCGATGGAGAAGGCATGTATTTTCTGGATTCGAGCGCACAAAGTTCCAGGTGCCCCGTTGATATCTCCTTCCAGAGGGGGAACCTAGGCGGAGACTTTCCCGGCGGCGATTCTGCGCCGGTGATGCAGCCACCTTCGCAGCCGGTGAAGAAAAGCAGGAGAGGACCTAGGTCAAAGAGTTCGCAGTATAGAGGCGTCACTTTCTACCGGAGGACAGGCAGATGGGAATCGCATATCTGGTAAACCTACTTCTGATTGATTATCTTCTAGATAGGCCTTGGATGAGTTTGTTGATGTGTTCCTCGTGAGAGAACTTAAGTCGAACTGGGTTTATCTTTCAGGTCCAAGCTCGAACTTAGATTTTGTATTAATCGTTTTCTCTTTGTCAAATTTTCCTGGTTGCAGGGATTGCGGTAAACAAGTTTATTTAGGTATGGGTTCTATTGCTTTTCCCTCTTCCAGCTGATTTCTGCTGTGCTCTTGACTCTCTAATGAAGCTTAACTTTTGAATTCAACAGGTGGATTTGACACTGCCCATGCTGCAGCTAGGTAATGCCTTTTGGAGATGATGTTGTTTTGTATGATCTAATTGGATCCCCCAACGGTTTTTTTCATTATGATACAAGAAAATGGGTATTTTAATAAGTTCAACTTTCACTTGTGTAGGGCGTATGATCGAGCTGCTGTCAAGTTCAGGGGTCTGGAGGCTGACATCAATTTCATTATCAGCGATTATGAAGAGGATCTCAAGCAGGTTTTGATTACATATATAGAAAATGCCATGAAGACATGCATACGTTGTTGTGTTCTTATCTGGTTTTCGAACTTCACAGATGGCAAACCTTTCCAAAGAGGAAGTTGTGCAAGTACTTCGGCGACAGAGCTCTGGTTTCTCAAGGAATAATTCGAGATATCAAGGAGTTGCTTTGCAAAAGATTGGTAATTGGGGAGCTCAAATGGAACAGTTTCATGGAAATATGTAATCATCTTCTCCCCGGATCTAATTTTGGGATTTTACACATGCTATATTCTTTGCGGGTTTGTCTGAGTGTGCTTGTCTATCATTGCTAAAAAGAGTGAAATGCCTCAGAGGAAGAGTTGGTTATTTTTGGGTCATGTGAAACAGTTTCTGTTAGAACCATTAGTAGGAAAACCCATTTGTGATTCTGACGGCTATGATACTAGTTTATCTATCTTGGGAGCGATTGTCATCTGAGTTTTAAGCTGCATGCTCTTGGTGATCGTAAATTATATATGATGAATTATCCTGAATTGTTGATCTACTAGAAAATTTTGCAATATTAATTTGCTCAGATTCCTATGGAATTAGGGCTTGTGACAAGGCAGCCATAAAATGGAATGGAAGGGAAGCTGCTTCCTTAATTGAGCCTCATGCATCCCGGATGACTCCCGAGGCAGGTAATGTAGTTGGTGCTCAATTCCTTGCTTGTTAAACTGGTCAGTGCTATGCAGCTTTTGCTCACAATATGCTACTACTAACTTGTTTTCTGATTTATATTATTTAGCTAATGTTAAGCTCGACCTCAACTTGGGAATCTCTCTTTCACTGGGAGATGGTCCAAAGCAAAAAGATAGGGGTCTCCGGCTTCACCATGCCCCTAACAGTATCGTATGTGGAAGGAACTCCAAGGTGCATTTTTCTCTCTAGTGCAATAAATATTTAACTTTACTTTCATATATGCGATTTGCTGCAACCTTTAGGGAAATGTTTATGTGTCCATATCCAATTGCAATCTGCTACTCAAAGCTACTTTACCATTAGCTAGCTCGAGTCCTCATGGTTCTTCCTTTATTCATGAATTTCTTGTCCTTCCATTTAATCTATATTCACAGATGGAGAACCACATGGCTGCAACGACATGTGATACGTCTTTCAATTTCTTGAAGAGAGGTTCTGAGCATCTTATTAACCGGCATGTCCTTCCTTCTGCGTTCTTTTCACCCATGGTAAATACCATACCAAACATCTCTTTATATCGAATTGTGTGTCACTGCCACACATTTATAACTTGCACAATCTTCTGTACCTTCTGTCCAGAATTGTCCAGAACTAGAACAAAATAGACAACTTTAAAACTTAGCAAACTTTTGCCAACCTATGAATAATTTGTGCTATAAGTGAATCCAATTAGAGGTTCAGCAGGTGGTTACTGTTGTGATATTTGATCAGTTAAATACTTGAGCATGACTGGGTGATATCCTTTGAGTAGAGTTGTATGTTGTTGCTTGTTAGTTTTATTTTATGATATTTGCATCATTTAACTGGAAAAACACTTCAAGATTTCAATGAATAATCATCTGCGCTAAAAAAAAAAATCAATTTTTTGGTCTTCAGGAAAGAACACCAGAGAAAGGTTTTATGCCACGTTCTCATCAAAGCTTCCCAGCCAGGACATGGCAAGTGCAAGATCAGTCTAGTAGTGGAACCGCCACAACAGCTACGGCATCGCCTCTGTTCTCAAATGCAGCATCATCAGGATTCTCACTATCAGCTACACGCCCGCCTTCTTCATCCACTGCTACGCTTCATCCTTCTCATCCCTTCCTCAATCTGAATATGCCCGGTCTATATGTCATCCACCCATCTGATTACGCATCTCAACAACACCATCCCCATCTCATGAACCGCTCACAACCACCACCATAGGCATACCTGCTTCATCCGCCAAATTCAAGGTATGACTTTCTGGAAAGAAATATCATTCAACTCATCTTTTTGCTCAGCACACAAAGCTGCAGTTTCCTCCTCCTGTTTAATATGTTATCCTTACAGTCCACAAGAAAATTTTGATGGAAGATCCCTAGAGTATGAATCTTAATGGTTTAAACTTAAAAGAAACTGATTAGTGAATAGAATAAGGCAGAGTTTCCAAGTTTTGCAGCATTATTTTCCTCGTGTCTTCTGTTCTTCTGTCTAGTGTTTTTTTGAGTTGATATCAAACTGTAAGTAATAACATTCTTCTTACCTGAACGTGCAGGTTCTAAACAGCCTTGGAGTTGGAATAACTTGAACCCGACCGAGGAAGGCCACTATGATGATTTCTCCCAAAACTATTGCGCTATATTTGCCATTGTTTGGTTTCCCTTCTTCTTTTGATTTGTAACATAAAGTGAGGGCTAAGAACAAAACAGAAACCCAAACCCATTTGTATTTTTACTACATTGTCTCCGAAATTAATCGGACCGGAAGGACGACCTTGTTCAAACAATGTTAAGTACAATGCAATCTATTTGTATGAAGATAATGGTTTCCCATTTTGTTGCAGCCACAGAGAACATCAGGAGATATATTTGTATAGCTAAACAACACAAGATACGATACATCTGATGATTCAGGAATTAAACGAACTCAATACACCACAACAAAGTCTTGATTTAAATTGAAGACTTAACAAGATAGATAACCACTAAGACTAGCTGGCATAGCCCATATCACATAGGTGTACCACTCACATCAACTACGCATAAGACTCGTCCAAAATGATCGATCATTCACTGATAACGTGGAACTTGATTGTGTGAACCATATTGTTACTACCCGTCTTCTTCAACTCGCATATCAGTTTGTCCCTTGACTTGACGTTATTCCTTCTGAGTATAGCTCCATATCCCTTGACAAACACACTGCCATTCAACTGAATCTTGATTTTCTTCGCCAATTTCCCGAACTTTTTCACGAGTGTATCGACGAGAGTTATATTCTCGGGGAAGTTTAAGCCATAGTCTGTTATAACCTTCCTCGGTATGCGCTGCATACATCATAAAACAAAGCATAAAGTGAATTTTATATCCACGTAGAAACATATAACCCAAATTAAGATGTTAAGTTGAAGTGTGAAAAGATCTTAAATATTCATCTTTCTTCTTCTTACCAATTGGCTTCTCCTATTCGGATTTAGGGTCACTGGAAAGAAAGGATTGTTGGGATCATCCAGATACTGCCTTTGATCAGAAACATCAACATCCTCAAGAGTAGCATCGTTATCATCATTAGCTCTGGTTTCTTCTTCACCTCGCACTGAACTTCTTCTGAGCCTTTTACACATTGTGCGAGGCTCGTAGATACAGAAGTTAAAACACTGAGATCCATCGAAATCAAACTCCAATACGTCTCCACCGACCAGATCTTCGTCTTTTACGATCATCTTCCACCCATTAACCAGAACGTATTTCTCACCGCATTTCCTCAAGGCCATTTTCCAAATCTTTCCATAGATGCTTTTGATAGTTACGTTGTTAGGCAAACACTTTGGTAAGCATCTGTTGAAAGAAACTGGTACTTCCTGAAAATCATCTACAAGTTTCAACCCAACTAGACACACCTACAAACGAACTTGTAAGAAAAATCCAGAAAACAAACCTAAAAACAGAGTGGAAATAAGTGTAATTTTACCATATCATCTCCGGATATACCAGCTAGATACACTTTGAAGAACTTCGGAAGACAATAATCCGCATTATGTCCTGTTCAACATAAGAAAATCATAATATCAATGTCTGGACTGCATTGCAAAGACGAAGAATCAGGAACAAAGATGGGGGATAAAAGAGACACCTTGATTCATTGTTGTCACTTGTCACCCTCTTTAGCCGCGGTTATAAACCCTAGTTTATTTGTGGAAGAGAAGGTGAAACAAGTTCCTAGAACCCTAGATCTCACAAGTTGATGTGAGAGATTTTAGGCAAAAACTTGCAAAAACAGAGGTTTATCTCTGTTTCGTTGCTTGTTGCTTCAAATGGAAAACAGACCACTAATAGTATCATTCCATTTTGGAGTTTTGGGTTTTCGCCTAAAAGGCCAATAAAAACACAAATTGGGCCGAAAGTTCTGTACATTTTAGATGGTAAGTAAAAGAAAAGTCGAGTAGGGCTATTGTGGTCAATTCATCTTCTTTAATTTCAACCTCTTCCCGCTTTTATATGGCCGGAAAATATCAAAAGTCTTTCAAACGAATTAATCAACATTCCCCGACGTAGATCCGACGAGCTATTCTCATTGTAAGAAGAAAAACCGTAACGATGGTAGAATCTCAAGGAAAAGCCTCCTTATTTTGATTGTTCACCTCTCCAAATCCCTAGACCGGATACCTCTTTTACCTCCAATTGTATGCGTATCCATTTCCGAGCCAGATTTTCGTTTAAATAAAATAATCAGTTGATAGCTTTACATGGTTTAATTGAGTTGAAACAGCTTATATCTCTGCCGGCCAACTGTTTATCCTTTCCGCTTTACTGGTTTATCACTGGGATTTCTTGAGGTGATCTTATCTCACCCTATGAAATGTAAATCCAAACTAGTATATTTTAGCAAGGCTTTAATCTCTCTTTCGAAAAAAAAAATGTCATTTTGGATTTTTTCGTATATAGCATACACCTGTTGTCTGTGTATTTCAACAACAGATGTTGTCTGTTTATGAATTTCTTATCTTTCTTAAAAAAAAAAAAATTCTTATCTTTCTGATTATCTTTCTCTATGTTTGTCGTAAATATTCATAGATTTGGTCTATGTGTCCTAAAGATGTGAAATATGGTGTTGCTGAACCAGGTGTCTTAGATTCGGCTGAGTTAGATTTTTTTTTGGTAAAAAAAAAAGTGTTTTTTCACCTCTTTGCCAGGAACCCAAGCAATGTAAATAGTCCCTCTCAACGTGGATTGAACCTAAGGTGGACGGGCACATACCCAAACCTTTTTACCACTAGCCCAACACAACGTTGGTGCTGAGTTAGATTTCATGACTGAAAAGTGAAAATATGGTGGAAACCTGTTCCTTGGCGTTTAGGAAGAGTTCACAGAGTCAATGGTAGCTTGAAATTGTACTAGTGCTTCACTGGAACTGCAAGCTTTATCTTCATTGTTGAGTTTAGGACTGTACACAAATGAGGAAATAATTTATGGAGCTAATGAGGTGGGTAATCTTACTATGTTCCTTTACTAGTTCCTACCTTTGCTTTCGTTGCCATCCTGATTTTCTTTATTTAGCTAATGTCAAGCTCGACCTCTAACTTGGAATCTTTTCTTTCAATATTGGGTGATTGTCCAAAGCAAAAAATATACGGCCCTCCGATCCAGCTTCGCCATGTCCCTAATGGTGTCATATTTGGAAGGAGCTCCAAGGTGGACATGTTTCTCTGAGAGTGCACCAAATAATGTATGATCTAATCAACTTACATTCTATGGAGTTTTGTTTTAGATGAAATTAATATGCTGTTTTTCATTTACCAATCTGTGTTTAGGGACTTTGTTTTGTATTTCGTCTTGGGGCTTATGAAATGTTTTGGTGGGGGCTGAGACTATATTATATTAGTTAAGGCCATAAGTCATCTATATTTTGTGGTCCTCCTCCCACTCTCTTTTCTTGTTCTATGATTATTTCATTATTTATCGGAATCCACCCCTGAATAGGAAAACGTTATAGTAAAAAAAATGGAAAAAGGAAAACTCCAGCTATAAGATTTCCTTTTCCTAATAGAAACAGATAATCTAAAAGTTAACCGACAAAACAAAGACTCTCTAACTAGTATAAATATATATCACTAAACCCCTCTACACACAGATTCAATTAACAATCGCTCAGAAAAAAGTTCTCACACTTAATTCTCCATAATCAGATTCTCTAATTAAGATTAATAATTCCTGTAGTACTAATGGCAATCTCAGATAATACCTTCTCCATGTCGACAATGTACGATGCTTTGCCAAATATCCGTTCCTCATCAGAAGGAATCTCCGGTACCAATATTCCTCCTCCGGGATTCTTCATTCCACGCGCCTACGCCGGAACAAACACGCGCTTAAACCCTCTGTTCAACCTAATGATTACAGACAACTTGACGAGAGCACACTTTAAAGAGGTGATCTCTTCAAGGTTAAACCAAAGACAGCTTCTGTCGATGGCGTCGTTGCTGACGTCAGACTCCGATGCCTTCATGGAAGTTGTCCGAAACAAGATCGGGTCGACACGCGTGCAGATGCTCCTCGGAATGTCAGATGACGTGGACGCGTTCTTCTACACCGCTATCTTGCGCCGTTTCCTCCACATCATGACGGACAAGTACGCATCCCGCGTGGCGATACGAGCAATGTCCGTTTTCGACCAGGAGAAGAGATATGTAATGTACGAGCACACTCTTTACCACGCGCTCGACTTAGCGTGTGAACAACACGGCTGCATCGCGCTCAACGAGGTCATAACCGACGCGGATGATCCTTGCTACAGAAATCTGCTGCTAGACTTGGTCGCGCGCAACGCTCTCTTCCTAAGCAACGACGCTTCAGGGAACTTCGTGGTCCAACACGTGCTTCAACTGCGTAACTTGCGTTGCACGCATAATGTCGCGGTTAGTCTTCGTGGGCACTGCGTTGACTTGTCGTTTAGGAGGTATGGAAGCTACATCGTAGAGAAGCTTCTGCAAGAAAGGGAGACGATGGTTGTGGTGGTTATGGAGTTTTTGGAGTGCGAAGGAGGAAGGTTGATGAGGCTTGCGAGGAATGAGTTTGGGAATTTCGTGGTGTTCAAGGCACTGAGACTCACAAAGGATATGAACAGAGCCGATCTGTTTTGGGATTTGGCGCAGAAGCTGATGCCTTTTCTCCACCTCTTGCGTAGGTCTCACGGAAATAACATTGCAAACATCTTGGAGTCATGTTCGATAACTACAAGATTCTCTAGTTAAAATTGTTTGGTTGTTCTTTAGGTTGATTTCTGAAATCTTGTTTAATGAAGTTTTTCACTGATGTTTTTGTAAGGATCCAAATTTGATTCACCGTTCATGATCGTTTTTCGTTTTTGTTTTCAACTGAGATCAAGATAAGTTTAATGAACTGGTTCGAAGATTTGTCTTTGGAAGTAGAAGATGTCCAAAAGATGTTATATGAGACGGGATAAAAAGACTATCACTTTAAAAAAAAAAAAATAATAGAAAGAAAAGAGTAAGGAAAGACAAATCAATTGCTTGCAGTAAACCTTTTCTTTCTTTCTTTATCTTTTTTTGCTATGACAACTTGACTTGCTTATAATTTAAAAAAGCTATACTATTTTTCAGAACTAAGTTTATTTGCGATTTGAATAAGAATAAATCAGAGGCACCACCGCAACTTCTACCTCTGTTATCGTTGGACTTGGACAGTTTACATGCATCCACAATTTGCCAGCATTCCCAAACAAATCTATCGAAGGCACCCAAACATCAACTTCTTTGGCTCCTGCAACAGAGATAAATCATCTTGAATACTCACATACGCTATCAGAACCAATGGATAAACCAAAATCACACATTAAAGAATAAATATAGACAGTACCCTTTTAGTTTAAAAGTGCTCTTGAGGAGTCTATGTTGGGCCCTGCATCTTTGATATAACAAACGGTTTCTCTATGCGCAGCGGCGGAAGCAGTTTGGAGTAAAATGCTTCCAACCACTTGGGATCAATAAGAGCAAATCCAACAAAGCAGAAACATCTCTTGATGCCAGAATCACATTCCATATGTCCTATTGTACACATCTCCGGGACTTGGAATCCGAAATTTCGGTTCTTCATAACCGTTGTTGTATATGCTCCCATTAAATCCCAGCCGTTCATTCCTAAGAAGCTCGGCCATGCCTAGAGAGTTCACACTTTGGCCTTCATTCCACTTATCCCAGTGACCATTAGACAAGACTGAATTTGCAGATGGTTGTTGTCTTGGGAGCTGTGAGAAAGGAGATATGCTACTTCCCTGTGTCTGATGATCCATTAGCCTTGAACTAAATCCGTAAGGATCGGAAAGCGAAGGAGATAAGTTTCTGACATCATTATGAAACCCATTAACTTGTTGTTGTGAAGCGGACAGAGACTGCTGTCTCAACATTCGGAGTCCTATTTCGTTCTCAAAGGAATTCATTTGTGATGAGAATCCTGATCTCTTCTTATCCAAGTCTGCATTTATCATCCCTCTTCCAACAGCTAGAATTGCAGGATCCGCAAACTCAATATCACTTACACCACTCGGATTACCAACTGGAGGCGGTACTTGATATGCATTCCTCAGCAAGGAGGCAGAGTCTAGAAAACGAGTTCCTACGATACAAGTTGACAATAGTTTTAGTCTGTCGCATCAGCCACACTCTCTAAGCTACCCCAAAATAGAAGAAAAAAAAAATACCTGGTGCAGTATCTGAAGATAGGCCCATTCTTTCATGTGAAGAGAAGCCAGGAGGAGGTAACCTGCTGGGCGCAGAAAATCCTGGAGGAGCAGAGACTTGAGGTCGTGAAACTGCAATAGGGCAACAGAGAAACAAATTGGAAACGTGACAGAAAAAGATCCCATCCAAACAAGAAACAACGGAATGCCGTAAATAAGCTGTAAATACTAACCAGGAGTCTTGTACGACGAGAATAAAGGACTAGCAGCAAAGTTTTCCAATCCACCAGAGTAATTTGAAGCAAATCCATTTAGACTCCCGAGATTATCCCGATAGATATCTTGGCTCACTACAGACTCCTGAATAGGCTGATCTCTCGACACCTGCCCATAAATGCTATGGTTCTCATTGTCAAATGCTTGATTATTAGTCTCTTCATAACGCGCAAAAGAAAATCTGGACTGGCTGTTATGTTGCTTTAGGAAGTTAGAAGGTTTAAGGGTACTAGATCGCTGATCAACTTCACCGAGTAACTCTGCCAAATTGTTGGGTGAAGTTAAGGAATCATCCCATGGATCGAAGTCGAGTGACAAAATGTTTGAGACTATATCGTCATCTGCATTACGAACTTTGTGACTGCCTTCATTAGCAAACAGAGAGTGCACCGCATTAGACATGGATTTCTCACCAAATCCATTTGGAAGATTCATTCTAAGATCCAAAGAGAACCTCGAATCTGATTCGTTCACACCTGAAAATTCACAAGGCAGGGAAGAACGAGAAGACAAATGATTTGCATCCAAAATGGAACTTGAAGAGTCGGACAGAAACCGCGAGCGGATAATCTCCTCTTCAGGGTGATGCCGTTGACTATCAAATGATGATATATCCTCCACTTTCAATTTTGAGCCAACTTGCATCTGGGACTGCAAATCTGATCTCCAATCCCACTCTGGCGTTGTGCAGGGGACTCTATTCTCTGATGGGATAGCTTTCGTATCAGTGTTTATAGATTGCTCTAAATGTGGCAATTTTGATACTTCATGACCAGGTTGTCTAATAGAACCTTGATCACACGGACTACCAATCGCCATTGGAATATCAGGACGTTCATCCCTAGAATTCGTAGCTATCCCCATGCCTGAAACACCAACCGACAAGTTGCTAACAGTAGGGTTATCTTCTACAGCTTCATTAAAATCGTCAAACGAGTTCATAGTAGCTGAAGGCTTGTCAATGTCTCTGCCATTATGGGAAGAGTCTATTGAACTGGATAACCGATTGCTATTAAAATCTCTATCAGGTGAGGTAGTTCTCTTGGACCCAGAATCAACCCCAATATTATGCTGCAAATGCTTCATCACGGTAGGTTTGCTTTTGTCAACAACTACTTGGCTTTCTTCTTTACGCGATGGTCTTTTAAGAGTGTTACTAGAGGATACAGGCCCATGAGCTGCATTTGCAACAACAGCAGAAAAGGGCAAGGTTCCGTTTACTGATGTTGATCTTTGTATATCAGAAGATCCATTTGAGGTAACTGAAGTTGCTAAAGACTGCTGGTTTGCAATATGTGTTCCCCTGTAACAGCATCATCATTTTATTAGATTGACCAATCAAAATACTTTGCATTGCATAAAAAGCAGCAAGTGAAAACTTACCATGACGCCGCAGCAGGAAGAGCAGTGGATCTGCTAGAGCTCCCACTCCCACTAGGTGGAGAATACCTGGGAACACTTGCTGCATTCTGCTCATAGAAAATAAATTGAGACATGCCACATCATTAAGCTAGTCACCAACTAGGATTAACAAATAGGAAAGCGTTTATATGTGGAGTATTTTTGTGGTTAGTCTGGGGTCATTTGAGGCATGGGAGAGTTTTTTTAGGCTAAAGCCCATACGAAATAATGGTTTTTAATTAATCTATACTCGTAAGTTAAGAAAACATATTCTTGGAACACATGGCTCAAGCGAAATTGCACATCTTGTCAAGGGAAAGCTGAGATTTCATTGAACTTACACTTGAAGGAACTTTTACAATTGGTTTTGCAGAAGAACTGTCACTGCAATAAGCATCCAGTGGTGGAGGTAGCATGCTCCCTGAACGGTGCTGCAGAATATTTGTTGTGCCAGTGATTTGTTGAACTCTGCTCCTTCAAAATTACTATAAGACTTAACTAATCATCCAAAAATACTAGACCAACCATATATTACACATGCTAAAAATAATGGATTCACGAAAGAGAACAATCATTAATTATAAAATTTAGATGTTTGTTAAAATACCTTGTATAGGCTGATATGATCTCATCTTTTGTGAAACTATCCTCTTGAGAACCAACCTCGTGCAAATAGAGACAATCAGGATTGATGCATGCCTGGAAATAAAATTATGCAATTCATCACTCCAAAGACATCAATTTCAACTTTAATCTGAAAGGAGGTAACTAAAAGAACAACTCAGGGAGCCAAAAAGCATAAGGATCCATAGAAGACATACAACATTTCTCAGCCATGCATGACAATACTTGGTTGTCCCAAAACATGCCCTGCAATATATATACATATTATCGTTAAGTGAATGAAAACAAGATTAAAAACACTACCCACATAGTTTCAAACAAACAGGAAGTGAGGGAAAACTTACTTCAGTGGTTTACCATCCAAGGTAAACCCATGAACAGCCTGAATGCAGCGAACAGCCTCTTCCTCTTTTGCATAAGTAATATATCTGAAATAACAATAATTATATCAGAGAAAACAATAATGCAAGCAAAAGTAATTAAAAAAAATCATGATTAGGGGCTAAATTTGGTTGACAGAAAACGCACACACTGCATGTATTGTTTGGGAATTGTTGTATGACACCAGATGCTGTTCGGGACATGGAAACCTTTAGCACTTTTCCATACTGACCGAAATATTCTTTATGATGGAGTAGCTGTAAGAAAAATGGAGCACTCGTCACATAGCAATCAACAAAGAAATGATTAAAATAGGTTGGATGAAGGTTCTCATACATCTTCATCTGCTAGATTAAGGGGCAACCCGACAATGTAAACAAGATTCCTTTGGATGACTCGCACACTGGTGAGTTGCTTTCTCCCTTCAGAAGGTTTTGATTTTGACTTTTGAGTCTTCTTGCGCTCCATGTTGCCTTCAGCAGAGGCCAGACTGGGAACAGGTGAAGATGTAAATCAGCAATTTTGCCAGACTAAGATTAAATTCGCCAAAAAAGATTGCATATCAAGCATCACATTATAACCTGTCACAATTAACAGTCATCCCTACAATCTTTTCCTTGTCATATGGAGTGCGACAAGCTGGACAACGCCCTTCTATTTGATCTTTCTCTGCCATGTCCACTATGTGATGCCAGCACCAAACACATATCTGAATCACATACACACAATCATTGGTCAATGAGGCCAGCAAAAGTTGTGTACTTGCTCCACTGAGACATTGCTTATCACATCTAATCTATTTAATGAATTACAGAGAAACCGCAGCAGAAACTTCTAGCTAAACCAATAAAAGTATATGCTGATTATTGCTATTGAATATGGCAGTAAGCACAACGGTTCTCACTAAAATGGTCACTTTTACGACTAAGCAGTAACATATAAATTCTAATTATCGGAATATGAAAGCAGTTGCCAAGACCTGATAGCCACATTTGCAAGGCTTCAATTGCTGATCAGTCAGATCCATCTCCTCAGCACACAGTGGACAAGTCTTCTCTCCATGGTCACTCATGGTGGTCTAAAAAGAAAGATTATGAAATACATTAATCATAAAAGTTAAGGCCACAAACTAAGAAAGTAGAAAGGATTTCGTGAGCCATCAAATAAAATATAAGCATAAGCCAAACTACGACTGATAACACGAGCTCAACTACCACACTTGGCTAAAAGCTAAAAGGCTAAAATTTTGATCAATACTTATTAAGCATATTCGCGATCCAATCCTAGAATTTGTGTTCACTCATATCATCAACCTTATCCTAAGCCAATTCAAAAAGTAGGAAAACTCTAAAATTTACTTTAAATATTCGAACTTTCAGATCGATACTAGGAATATAAGAATCACAAAATGCATCAACGATCACGAAACTCCGGGGAATCGATCTGTGCATGTGCCTCGACGGTTCAATTAGAGACGCGTCAACGGACAAGTGAAAACACATCGTTAAGAAATAATCACCAATTTTTTTTTTTTTGAGAATTACAAAATCTCAATCACAATTGAGTGATAGACAATCCAAGCTAATAAACCAATGATCCCATGTAAAAACCCCGGGAGCAGAAACAGAATTAGGGTTTTGAGATTCAACAGATTCAAACTCCATAAGAAAAGATTCAATAAGAGGTAAAGGGAAAAACATACGAAAGATTGGATTGAGATTGCAGATGAAGAAGATCGAGATGAGGAAATGGAAGCTCGAACGAGAGCTGGAGATTGCGAGCGAGAGAGAGAGAAAGAGAAAATGGATGGCTGCGATTTTGGGTGAGATTTGGCCTTTTTAACCCTTAATTTCTGCCAGATCCAAGTTGCTGTCTTGTTAAATTGTAATATGAAAAAGAGTTATTGAAAAAGAAGAGTTATTGAAAAAACTTTTTATTGCCTTTTAATTGCTGATTTTATTACTATATCCAGTCCGGTTCGGTTTTCGTTACCCGGTATATACCAACCGGTTTTTAGGGCATTTTCATGTTATTACCAAGAATCACCCAACCACATAAAATCTTCTAGTCAAACAAATTTCGTCATTACCAAAAATCACCCAACCACATATATAAAGAAAGGGGCAATCATAGTTTGAGTACAAGAAAATTTCATTTATTTGGGTATTTTCCAAGTTCTCACCTCACCTGTTATGGTTATTTAAGCTATAAAATCTATTTTGGCTGCAAATTGACCTTATAAAAATCATGGAGATATGCTAATGGAATTTTTTAATAAAAAACTAAGTTGTGAGTTCAAAAACCAAAAAAAATTCTGAGTGGACCGATAATCAATGACTATTTTGACCCAGAAGAATTAATTTCAACATGTCATAATCGAAACAAATGATTGGTAAGGAGGATTTGATCGTTTGAACTTTCGTTTATATTAAGGCCCTTTATACTATCTAACAGAAACGGCTAATCGGCATTGTTGTGTGCCGCGTAATTATGACCTTTACATGTATCTTTGTCCTCTTTTCTACTCCAGTTGGATATTTGTCAAACAATCTACGTAATTCAGTTTCTTCGCTTAGTGTTACTTCTAAAGCGGTAGAATTGGAGAAATGAAGAAGAACGAAGACATAAAGATACTTTTGTTGGAGTATTGAAGAAGACAAAGACATAAAGATAACAACTATCCTGTTCTAGTAATGTGGTTTCTAGGCTGATCGGGCTCTAATTGACTTACAAATTTGATCACAGAATTGGTTATAAAATGGACGATATGTTCACTTGCACTCACCCTAATTCCTCTCAAACATCTATAATAAGGTTCAGCCTAATAAATATCCCTAAAAATGATAAGAAAACATTTTTTCTACACATTTGTAACATACAGTGTAGCCAACAACAAAACCCAAACCCAAACCCAAACTCATTTCATTTTACTATAATGTCTTTTGAGATCAATCCCACCCGAAGGACAACCTTTTTCCGAACATTGTAAGTTTTTATTTGTATGAATCCGTTGAAAGACTTTGCCCTAGTTGATTGTTGCAGGCAACAAGACAAACAGGGTTTGTATAGACGACATCAACATGGATTTTGTTGCGAGAGAAAACAGACAGATTTGATGAGATTCAGCAACTCTATATATATTAAAGTCTTTAACCTTAATCAACTTGAAAACATCCCTCACGAGTGACGACCTAGTACTTGGCTATAAACCAAATCTCAAGAGCACCCTCTTACATTTTGTGGTGCTGTG